AGAAGTTGTACGGAGACTTTCAAAATCGGACCTGAAGCTAAAACCCTCAAAGTGTACATTTGGACATACACAAATTGACTTCCTAGGACACGTAGTAAATCCCGACGGCATCAGTCCTAATCCGAAGAAGGTTGAAGCGATCACCAAACTCGAAGCGCCGACGAACAAGAAACAGTTACGATCTTTCTTGGGAATGGTCGGTTACTACGGTAAATTCATCCGTGACCTTCCGACACGTTCCGCTCCTCTTCCCGTCCTGACTTGCAAAGAAACGCCGTACTTATGGACAAGCGAGCACGAGAAAATTTTCCAAGAACTGAAGACCTGCCTCACGTCCAACCCGTTACTAGCTCACTTCGACCGCGACTTACCACATGTAATCGAAACGGACGCTTCCGGACTTGAAATGGGCGCCGTACTCCATCAGATTGAACCCGACGGATGGAAGCGCGTCGTTGCCTATGCGAGTCAATCATTGTCCAAATCCGAGAAAAATTACAGTGCAACTGAACAAGAACTTTTGGCCGTAGTTTGGGCCTTGGACAAATTCCGCCCCTACATCGGCGACCCTAACCGACCGTTTGAGGTCGTTACAGACCACAACGCTTTAAAGGGCCTGATAAACGCCAAAAACCCTACCGGACGACATGCCAGATGGATTTTGCGGCTACGCCAGCACAATTTTACGATCGGCTACAGACCCGGAAAAGAAAACGTAGTTGCGGACTGCCTCTATAGATACCCTTCTGATTGTCAAAGTACACCTGAAGGTCAACAATTCTCAACGTCACTATTCAACATCACCACGACTAATCTCAAGAAAGAGCAAATGAATGACTCATTCTGCCAAAGAATAATTAACATCCTCAAAAGACATACTCACAATCAAGCGTATCGATATCGCCGTGTGCGTTTTACCCTCATCTGGATCTTCTCTACCGAATTGCCTACCGCAACGACAAAATAACTTTTCTACTGGTCGTACCGAAGACAATGCACGCCGAAGTTCTTAAGAACGCGCATGACCTTTCCGGTCATTTTGGTCAAGAAAAGACATACTACAATTTACAAGATCGTTATTACTGGCCTGTAATGATTGAATTCGTATCCCGCCACCGCGCATCCTGTATTCCATGCAACGTTAAAAAGCCGCCAAACGGAAAGCCATCCGGATATTTGCAACCGATTAAAGTCTACGGGCCGTTCCATACCATTGGGATTGACTACCAAGGACACTTTACAACATCAACAAAAAGCAATCAGTATTTACTTGTCGCGATCGACCATCTAACAAAATGGATCGAAACCAAACCGGTTCGTAGCGCCACCGCCGAAATTGCAGCAAAATTCCTTATGGAAAATGTCATCTTGCGGCATGGAGTCCCGTCCTTCATCGTTTCCGACCGGGGTACACACTTCTGCAATGAGCTGTTATCCCAGTTGACTAAGTTAGTCAATTGTGAACAACGGTTCACAACAGCTTATCATCCCCAGTCGAATGGATTAACAGAGCGCGCAAATCAAACGATTGCCCAATGCCCAAAGCCTTTCGAAATATGTGGATCAGCATAACAGATGGGACCAGTTCATACCTTTCGTCACTCACGCCATCAACACTTCACTCAGCAAAACAACGAAATTTTCCCCATTTGAACTCCTCTATGGACGAAAAGCCACAACTCCTCTCGACGTTGCCACTGGTGCCACTGAACGACAAATAATAAATGATATGGATCAATACGTTAAAGAAACCCAAATTTTTCTCCGCGACGCTCAAGAAATTGCAAAACTCCGCTGCAGTGCTGCCTTCGATCAAAATGCACCACTTTATAATCAACATCGAACGACCGTTGATTATCCAATCGGTAGTCTCGTTTACCGTTGGAATGTGCCTCGAGTTGTTGACAAGACCGGCGCGATCAGGAAAACAGAAGGAAGATTGACAGCCAAATTACTTAAGAACTGGCATGGACCGTATAAAATATTAGAGAAAGTAGGCAATGTCAGTTACAAGATTGCCAATGTTAACGGACGCCGTAAGATCGACACTGTGCATGTTTCGCAACTCAAGCCTTGGTACAACCATGCCGACGAAGAAATGAACGTGCAGCAAACAGAACAGCCCCAGGCGGAACAAGATCAGCCAGCTGAAAGTGAAAGCGAGCCGCATACACCACGCTACAAACTGCGCCAGCGAAAGTGAATTTCTTTCTGCATACACCATATTCCCACTACTCCACCATAATCTCTACGAGATTCCTTCAAGAAGGGGAATGTCATATAGAGAATGTGTTTCCGTGTCACGTCTGTACATCTACATAGCCTCTTGTGTTATTCACCTAAATACCTTCACCTATTTTACTCATATTTAAACGCTTCCGCTTCTCTCATATGATATTCATGCTCTCATCATTCTACGATCATCTCGATGCTATTTCTCTACGATCATCACCAACTGTACGTTTATCATTAAAGCTATTTAGTATCATCCGCGTATTCTCATTTACTAGTAGAACCCTGTATAACATGACAGATGCACAGAAAAATGACCGGGTCAGTGACTAACACATGTCCAATTTGCATACTGTAGCCGCTAGATGAAGTGGCTCCACAGAGTCTGGTATACGGGAAAATGCAGGCCCAATATACACACATTGCTCCGTGCAGAATTGTTTTTGATTTCAAAAAATTTTCACTCTGATGCTGACGTTCTGTATGGTTTACTGAGTTTTCTTATTCTTAGCAACACATGATAATTATTGTAAGAGCATAATGTCAGAGCTCTGATTGTTTTCAGTTTACAAATCTGGTTTGTTGTGGTTTTTGGGGTGCCCCTGGCAGGGGCATAGAACAGTTAGCAGTTAGCGCTAATATCGAAAAGTGCGCGCCTCCCGGTGGGAGGAAGCCTCGTGCTCAATGCCCGGCCAGAGGCAGGCAGCGGACGGATCTAAAAGTGGAGCCACTTCATCTAGCGGCTACAGTACTGTCTTTGACTCTGAAAAGCACAACAATGCTGTTGTGGCCCACGATCTGTAGTTAAACGCTTATATATACACCGCCATACAGCTGCACTCATTTCCGAGCGGATATTTTCAGACGCACAGGCACTGCAATGATGAAGCACGTATTGTGCATGTAAACTGCTTGCTAAGTTCTGATTATGGTGCCAGTTTGTGTTTGTGGCACGGCACACAACAGAATTTTTGTTGATGCTTTGTAGCAAATTAAATAAACAACAATATTAAACATCATGAAAATTACTAACTGTTCATAAGTGTATTTTGGTATATAACAGTCATGTTAGTTAATTAAAGCATATATAACCATTATATTATCATAGTTCGTTATAGCACCTATCATACACTCAGGATATTAAATATGTTTCGAGGTATTGTGTACTCTAAAGTATATTTTAACTAACATCACTACCCTAGTATTTTCACTGGTAGATAAAAAAGTAAAATCCACAGTTTTTATGCATAGAGCGTCAAAGATGAATCCACAGATTGCGCATGTTTGGACTTATAATACGTTATAATTTTTAAACGCACAAGCGATTTGACGCTCCAAAAAACGTACTCTCCAAAAAACGCGAAATAATTTCAATATTTGATAACTCGATAACTACGGTGCATTGTTAACACTCGAATTTATTCTTGCGTTAATTTATTTTATAACTTACTTGTTTTCGCATAAATCACAGCCTAGCATTATGACAATAACAAAATTATGCACAAAATAGGTAAACTGGGATCAAGCAAAACTTATTGCCCGTTCAAATTTCACCCTGTAAAGAACGATAAGAATTGAGATTTCTGTTGTTTTTTTTTGCAGTATGCTATCACAGTAAATTGTTTAGATACACGATGCAAATCAAAAAGATAATACATAACATGAAGTTCCGAAAATTTAAAGTTTTGTCATGGGCAACACTACATTTCAAACTGCGAACCATGGTTTTAGCTAGCCTGTGGCTAGCACTGGCTACTGCACATGAATTTGCAGCAACCCTCTGAAACGCCGTAACGCTGCTGTCGCTTTTCACGTGACCAGACTAGCCACGCCTTTCGTCTGGACTTAATTCGCCAACACTGATTTCAAAGAAGCAAAGTAGAGTTAAAGAAGCAATCGCATATTTTTTGTGCTTTAACTGTACGTGTAACACAGGTTTTACTTTTCCGCTGCAGTCAAATAGAAATCGGGTAATTTTTTAATAGTGCATTAGCGCTGCAACTTGTAGGTGTACAAATCACGCATACATACATACAACTAAGACGTTTTCGCAATTGCCATTGGCTGGCCCGGCCTACTTTTGCCTACTTGTATAGATGTATGCGTGATTTGTACACATACAAGTAAGAAACGCAAATGCACTAATGTAATACTTAGAACGAATACAGATCAGTACAGATCATGAGTGCATTAACTCGTAGTGCATATGAAGCCTCGTATTACATACTTGTCTAAGTGTGGACAGTAGAGGTATTTGAAAGGGAACAGACCAAGAATATGTGCGGGACTGGCCCTTTGACCGCTTCCTCGCCGCCGTACCGTTTGCTTGTTTACTTAGTCAGCTCCGTTCAATGCATTCAGAGCTAAAATAGGAAAGACAGTAACGTGAGTGGCAGGCGGCAGCTACCTCCATCTTGCGTCTGCTGGTCACTGTTATGTATATTATATGTCCACTGGTAGCATTTAAGTGAACAATACTGAGCAGACGATTCTAATCTCTGTCTGGTGGTATTGTAACTACAATAATAGCACATTCTCGTATGCTATAGCTACTGGGTCACAAAAGTGATTACGTGTCTATGACTGCCATCATTACCATGCATTTGTTCATGAAATCGGTTTTGCCATTACACTGCAATTAAAAGCTAGCAACGAAATAATTTTATGTTGTATGCAGTTTATTAATATATCGGGTCATAACAGCCATGCAAAATTTTGATTGATTTCATTTTTTTGTGGTGGTGACGTTAAACATGGTGACGAAGTGTTTTGTGCTGAACTGTCCAAGCGAACAAGGTACGAGAACAAAGAAACAGTCGCTGGAAGTTGGGCAGTCGCCAAAGTTATCGTTTCATCATGTTCCTAAAGAAGGTTAACCTACTCGCAATTTATGGATCCAGTTTTGCGGTAACTTGCGTCTCCCATCAAAGCATGATATTGTGTGTCGTAATCATTTCACGGAAGAAGATTTTGTACACCAAAACCACAGCGATTCTCCTAAAGGGAAAAACATCTTGAAGGAGACGGCAGTACCTTCCCGTTTGCCACCTGCTGAACTTCACCATAAAGGTTACCGGAGCCCCAGGAAATGTGGAGCCGCAGTATCAAGTACGTTCCAATAACTTTATTATATATTCGAATAATTTTTTTACTGGAATAAAATAAAAGCATTTACAGAAATCAAAGCATTTTCTAATCTTTGTTTGAAATGTCTTTTGTTTAAATACATATCTTAATATAATTCTAACTAAATAATCCTGTGACCGGGGCTTTAGTCAAATAATTGTTACACTACATATCACTATGTTATTTATAAGTACATAATCTTTTATTACAAGAAACAGCTTCGGCTTTGCCTCCACGTTTCTTGTGGTTTTTGGTCGCAGATAAAATTATTTTTACATTTATTATTGTCAACGTCCAATGTAGTACTTAATGGTGTACTTAGTACATCTATGATAAACGTGAACTAACAGTACGCTTTTATTATGTAGCTGTTCAAAATGCATTTTTTACATTGTTTTATTTTTTATAATTTCGAGAGTAACCTTTGAATCTGTCTGTTATTTGTCGGTTACATGTTTGCAAACAGATATTGAAGAAACACTTATTACATTGGTGGCACTAATATGTATAAGCTCACCGTTTCTCAGATTTTGTTGTGTTTATATTAAAGACCATGTTTCTTGATATTATGTGCGGTATATGATATCAGTATATGTGGTATTGCAAAATATACATCTATGATAAACTTACAATAACGTGAACTAACAGTAGTTTTAAGTACTTACTTTTTGCTATAAGTAAATATTTAAGTTCTTACTTAGCTACTTTGATACTGACACAGTTTCCGAACATGCTGAATCGAATAGCTTTATGTTATGGCCTCCCGATCTTGATATCACAGATTTTGTTGTTTTTGTTTTACAATTTTATTTCTTGATGTTATATATATATTATATATTATTTTATATTTATACTATTATTTATATTTTTGTTCATTACGATTTGTACTAAGTACACTATTTTATTTTTAGAGCAGTACAAACACGATTATTTATTGTTAGGCCCTGAACTGAAGAGCCTGGCGGATATTATTAAGTATTCGTACTTGTTGCGCCCCAAGTATTCTGTGGTCAACTTTCCTCACGAGGGAGCGGAAGCGGTTATCGTTTTCCCTAGTTGTGCGGACGCGGGTCCAGCCACGTGGTTCAAACGTTGCATTTATTTCGTGGGCGATTTGGTTCCGCGTTGCTACCAGGCGGGTGTCAAAACTCACGTTATGATTCCGGCATCGCCAATGACCAATCTTAGCGAACTTTTACTGGAGTTAGATGAATTGCTGTTGTATCGACACTGTGTCGGATTCTCTAACAGCGCAAATTTTGAAGAGAATTCAGAGCTTGGATTCGCTCAAACAACAGCGGAAGGACTGACATGGAGAAGCTTTGAATGCAAAGTTGTTTTCAAGGGGAAATCTGGCCAAACCAGGTTAATTATAGTTGTATAATATACTATCTGGTTATTATTGCACCTGTACATTTTTAAGGCATAATGATTTCGAGAATTATATTTTCTACATCTGATTACAGATGCGATGAATGTCAGCGAGTATCGAAATCTACTTCGAAACGCCACAGTCGTAAACGTACCAGATCGTCTTCGCTTCCTTCCAACCGTACTCGGCACGGGTATCTATCAAAAACCGACTTGACAGCGCTGTTAAAATCCATGTCAGCTGAGAAGAAACAGAAAAAATCCGCGTTTCGTACCCATATTCAAGAAATCGCACCAGATGATGCCATAAAAAAATCAGATCTTTCTAACGCCTTGAGGTAATAACAGTGTATAGCGCATTTCTCGAAATGGCTTTAGAAATAGTTTTTTTCTCTAATACTAAAAAAATGTTTTAGTTCTCTGCCGCCGCATTACCAAAGCCTAGTGCAAGAAATTCTCCAACAGTCTCATGCCGAAGGGACTGGGCGTCGGTATTCTGACGAGCTTTTGGCTTTGTTCATGGTGCTCCAAAAGCAATCGGGTCGCGGCTTTGATCTTATGCGCAAATTGCTACCGGGCCCTTGTGAACGGACGCTTAGGCGTTATGGTGCCATCATGCCTAATGGACCTGGCTGGACGTCTTTCATGGAGTCGATGTGCACTGAAATTTGTAAGCATACCGACCCAGGGGATCGACGCGTTGCCATCCGGTTCGACGAAGCCCATTTGGCAACCTCCGTTGCTTACAACCGTGCAAAAGATCGACGAAACGGCTACCCAGATATGGGGGGCTATGAGAAGCTATTATCTCAGAGCAAGCAGCGGAGTCATGATACCTCACTGGCAAATAAAGTCACCGTGTTTTTGTTTGGTGGGCTGCGAAGACGATTTGACCATCCGTTTCAGTACTTCACCAGCCGCGGGGCCATTCCTGGTAACATTGTGCGTCATATGACCGTAGACGCAGTGAAACATGTACACGCAACGGGTTTCGACACTCTTGAGACCGTATCGGATGGCAGCAGCAATTATACCGCTGGATTCCGGATGATTGGTCTTTTTGAATCTAATGGGTGAGCGTTACTTGTGTTGCTTGGACTATGATACGTATTATATGTACATAATATTAAAGTTAAATAAAATATAATAAAATGACCTTCTAAACCGTTTTTCGGCTTTCAGAGATACCCTGGAGTGTTCGTATTTTGTGGACGGAAAGAAGGTTTTCCACATCTTCGACCCTCCTCACTTGGTTAAAAATACCTACGCGGCATTTGAAAGTGGGAAGCAATTTAATGTAATCATAAGTTTTACAAGTACGAAAATTTTACGAGTAATTCTAAATTTCACGAGTAATATCTGGTTTCAGATCCCCTTGGACGACGGTTCTGTGGGCACAGTCTACTACCACTTCATTGAGCGGCTGTACCATGTTGAACGCGACAATTTGCTGAAGAGGGCACCAAAACTACGTTGGAGAAGTCACATCCATCCAAAGGGATTCGAAAAGATGAAAGTTTATCCAGCTGCTCAAGTCCTCAGTAACACCGTTGCAGAGTAAGCCCAATAATATAATACTAATTTAATTATGCGTTATCAGTTACATGAAGGCAAAATATTGTAGTTCACTGGACGCGTATCGCGAAGCAGGGGATGAGCAGTTTGACGGCAGCCAGCATACATGTTTCTTCATACGAAAGATCAATGTTGCATTTGATGTGCTGAATGGGTCGCATTCGGACGAAGGCCACCCTGTCCGCCGTCCAATAACTGGCGAAGAAGTTATGGAGATGAACGGTCGAATGCAGGTACACCTCGCACAGCAATCATATAACAAGAAGACAAGAATATTTTTTAATATAACAAGAATATTTTTTAATTTTTAATGTTTTGCAGATTATTGATCATATGATAGACTGGATGAAAAAGCTGCGGCGGTTGATCATTACAGAGAAATCAAAAGGACGGTTTCGGAAGGGCCTCGTAGAGCGGTGGCTTATCACCCTTTTATCCGCGCGCGAACTTATTGTAGTCTTAGTCGTTGATTATCACCAGCAGTACATATGCACTCGGCTGATGTGCAACGATCCGACGGAGTTTTGCTTTTCGAGGTTGCGGGCCGAAGGCGGTGAACGTACTGGCATTTTGACCGAGCAACGGATGCGCGATGTGTGGAGAAATATAGTTCTTACTACGTATTCGAGTCCATCTAAATATGGGAACGCCCTTTTCGAAAGCGAGGTTCAGGGCCCTGCTTTTAACTTAATTGGTATATTTTTCAGCACAAAGTACTGCTGGCCTGCTTTTTATCACAATTTTTATATATTGTAAAACTTTTATATATGTAATTGCACAGAAATTTGGTCTTGCTCCAAAAGCGCTTGTTATTTAGGCTTCCTGCGGGACCAGAAACACGCAAAAGTCCAAAAATCAAGAGAGTGGTTGCTTATTGAGCGGATTCAAGAGGAAGACCTGATTGCATTGCAAGATAAAATGGAGGATCTCGTCGGTCGACCATTCTCTGGATCGACAGTTGATATCTGCATAATCTATTACCTTGCTGGTTACGTTCTACATCGATGCGGTGGTAGCAGTCTCGGAGGCCCTGATAAGAATCGTTGCGAATGCTGCATTTCAGTTTTGCTGTTACCTAAAGCCGTTTTTCCATGGTAGGAAAGTTAACCATTTATAAACAGCGTAATACATGTATATATGCTTATATATTTCTTTTGAACTTTATTTTTACAGGTACTGTAAATACGTCGACCAGGCAAACAGGGGAGGCTTGGTTTGTCCGTCTGAAAAAGTCTTACAGCACTGCATGGATTTGTTTACTGTATTTCAAACTTTACGTCCCGTTATTGAAAAAGAGCGAATTTGTGACGGAGTTTTGGACATGATAATGCGAGTGGTGGATTCAAAGCAATTGATCAGTCGAACAGCCAAGCGATCGTTTTTTGACGCCCCAAACCACATTGGGGAGGTAACAGTGGTAAAAAAAACGTGCAAGTGCAACCTGCAGCCATTATTTTATTCGTTGTCAAAATTGTTTATTTCGTCACTATGGTCGTATCGCTGCAAGCAGGTGGATAATGCAGAAAAAGAGAAAGCGTATGGAAGCGATGCCAGCAAACATGCTTATGCAAATAAGCAGGCGATCAAATATTACGGCGGCTTGGGCAGCAGTGTTGAAGGAAATTCGGACGAAAACTATTGATTTGTTTTTTTGTTGCGTTAATTATATGCATCAATGTCGTGTGCGATTTTTTGTTTTTTGTTTGTTTGTCAGTGTGGTCGTGGCTTATTAATTTTATAAATAAAGGTAGTAATGGTAATTATTATGCAGTGATTTCCATATTTACTTGAACCTAACAGCATAAATACCTAAATTATTTCATTATACAAAAGCATATAAGTAATTTCCCAATTAATAATACGATCACTACGAGTAAATACACTAGATAGAATGTTAAGCATGGCGTAATGGACATACTTTTATGGAAACCATATTGTACAGTAACGACGAATTAGTCCAGTACAGATATACGAGTATATGTATATTGAATACCGACTCGTCGTTACGGTTTTATTAATGGCATGTGCACACGCTAGTATCGACCAGTAACAGTTTCCCTAATATGCCGCTGTTACAGACAAATGTTACCATTGTTACACTTCTGCAAGGTAACAGATTGCTGATTCGTCGGCTTCTATTTACTTACGAAGCGGCTGTTCCATGTTCAAAGCGGTAGGCCACGACCACTGGTCCCGCACATGGTTAATTGTTTTATGGCTCTGTCCGCACTTAGACAAGTATGTAATACTGGGCTTCATATGCACTACGATTAACTACGTAAATACAGATGAGTACATTGACTAATAAAAATCCGTAAACAACATAATGCAATCTGCTTTTTTTGGTAATACAGTGCAGTAAAGACATCGTGTTTCTGCTCGGCGTGGATATCTGTCATACGCTTTTTCATCTTCTTCATGGTCAGACCGCTGATGTGGTGCATCCTACCGTGGACCCTGACGCAGTTTCTCCTCCCGGAATACCTGCAGCTGCCCGGTATTTTGTTGATATCGACGATCATTATTACCTGGGTGTATTATGAGTTTGTACAAGATCTTACATATTAAGCGGCGGATTATGGAACGCGACCGCCTCCAAATCGCTCTCATTGGTCAGAACCAAAATACTTACTAAACGAAGTGAACCTACTGAACAAACACACAAACTACAGTGAACCAGCTGAACACACTTACTAAACAAAATGAATCAGCTGAACCCAACCAAAACCTTAGTGAACCAACCGAACCCAACCGAAAAGTTAGTGAACCAACTAAACCCAACCGAAAAGTTGTTGAGCCCACTGAACCCAACTAAAACCTTACTGAACCGACTGAACCCAACCGAAAAGTTAGTGAACAAACTGAACCCAACCGAAAAGTAAGTGAACCGACTGAACCCAAACAAAAAGTTACTGAACCGACTGAACCCAAGCAAAAAGTTACTGAACCGACTGAACCCAAGCAAAAAGTTACTGAACCGACTGAACCCAAGCAAAATTTATTGCAGCATCTGAACCCAACTTAATCCTTAAAAAACCGACTGAACCCAAGCAAAACCTTATTGAACCATCTGAACCCAACCTAATCCTTGCTGAACTAAATGAACCAAACCGAAAAGCGGCTGATCGTGGAACGCAACCGCATCCAAATCGCTCTCATTGGCCAGCACCAAAAACTTACTAAACCAAGTGAACCTGATGAACAAACTTACAAACTATAGTGTACCTGCTAAACAGACTTACTAAACAAAATGAACCAGTTGAACCCAACCAGATTTTTAGTGAACCAGTTGAACTCATCTTAATCCTTGGTGAATCGACAGAATTCAACTGAACCCAACCAAATTTTAGTGAACCCGCTGAACCCAAACCATATGAAATGAAATACGAAATGAAGCTAACCCAACCATACAAAATACGAAAACCTAAACGAAACGAAGCTAGCCCAATCGTACGAAATGAAGCTAACCCAATCGTACGAAATAAAGCGAACCCAATCGTGCGAAATGAGGCTAACCCATACGAAATCAAGCTAAACCAATCGTTATTGTACTAACTTAACTCAATCGAAACATTAGTGAACCGACTGACCCTACCAAAACCAAATGAACCTACTGAACGACCATATTAAACCAACTGAATCAGCTAAACGCACTTATTAAGCGAGGAACCTACTGCACTAATTTAATGCGTAACGTATCCGCAAGAGAGTAAGCGCGCAAAGTAACCACAAGAAGGTGAGTGGTGTAACGAAACCACAAAAGATTCAGCAGCGCAATGTAACCACAAGAAAATGAACGGCCTGACGTAACCGCAACATAGTGAGAGGCGTAACGAAACCACAAGAGAGTAAGCGCGCAATGTAACCGCAAGAAACTGAGCGGCGTAACGTGACCACGAAAGAGTAAGCGGCGCATTGCAACCACGAGAGAGTGAACGGCCTGACGTAACCACAAGAAAGTGAGCGGCGTAACGTAACCACAAGAGAGCAAGCGGTGCAACGTAAATCCAAAAAAGTGAACGGCGTAACGTAACCACAAGTGAGCGGCGTAACGCAACCACAAGAGAGTAAGCGGCGCAACGTAACCGCAAGAAAGTGAGCGGCGCAACGTAACCAGAAGTGATTGGCGTAACGTAACCACAAGAGAGTAAGCGGTGCAACGCAACCGCAAGAAACTGAGCGGCGTAACGTAATCACAAGCGAGCGGCGTAACGTCACCACAAGACAGTGAGCGGCGTAACGTAACCAAAAGTTAGTGAACGGCGCAACATAACCGCAAGACAGAGAACGGCAAAACGTAACACAAGGGAGTAAACGGTCTAACGTAACCACAAGTGAGCGGTGTAGCGTAACCTCAAGAAAGTAAGCTGCGCAACGTAACCACAAGACATTGACCGGCGAAACGTAACCGCAAGAAAGTGAGCGTCGTAACGTAACCACAAGAGAGTGAACGGCAAACGCAACCACAAGAGAGTGAACGGCGAACGTAACCAAAAGAGAGTGAACGGCGCAATGTAACCAAAAGAGAGTGAACGGTCTGACGTAACCATAAGAGAATAAGCGGTGCAACGTAACCGCAAGAAAGTGAGCGGCGTAACGTAACCATAAGAGAATAAGCGGTGCAACGTAACCGCAAGAAAGTAAGCGGCGTAACGTAACCACAATTTAGTAAGCGGTGGAACGTAACCGCAAAGGAGTGAACAGCGAACGTAACCACAAGTGAGCGGTGTAGCGTAACCTCAAGAAAGTAAGCGGCGTAACGTAACCACAATTGAGTAAGCGGTGGAACGTAACCGCAAAGGAGTGAACGGCGAACGTAACCACAAGTGAGCGGTGTAGCGTAACCTCAAAAAAGTAAGCGGCGCAACGTAACCACAAGAAAGCGAGCGGCGTAACGTAACCACAAGTGAGCGGCGTAACGTAACCGCAAGAGAGTGATCGGCGTAACGTAACCATAAGAGAATAAGCGGTGCAACGTAACCGCAAGAAAGTAAGCGGCGCAACGTAACCACAATTTAGTAAGCGGTGGAACGTAACCGCAAAGGAGTGAACGGCGAACGTAACCACAAGTGAGCGGTGTAGCGTTACCTCAAGAAAGTAAGCGGCGTAACGTAACCACAATTGAGTAAGCGGTGGAACGTAACCGCAAAGGAGTGAACGGCGAACGTAACCACAAGTGAGCGGTGTAGCGTAACCTCAAGAAAGTAAGCGGCGCAACGTAACCACAAGAAAGTGAGCGGCGTAACGTAACCACAAGTGAGCGGCGTAACGTAACCTCAAGACAGTATGCGGCGCAATGTAACAACAAGACAGTGAACGGCAAAACGTAACCGCAAGAGTGTAAGTATACGGAAGTAAGTGGCGTAAGGTGCCGTAAGCACACGAGAGTGGTGGCGGAAGGTGACCACAAAAAAAGAAAGCGACGAAACGTAATCCAGGAGATTGAGCGGCGTAACTTAACCAAATGAGAGTTACTAGACTAAGCGCCGTAACGAAAACAGTTAAAGTAAACTGTTTAATTTAACCACACGATAGTTAAAGCGCAACGTAACCTTCGGTGGATACCGCGGCGCGTAGCGCGCCGCGGTCGTTGCTAGTATTAAATTACACTGGAAGAACGGCGATTTCGCCCCTTGTTGTCGTCGATTCCGTCGGGCGGAAACCGCAAATGCAAGCCTTCAGCCCGAGCTTCTGCCAAATGAAGAAAGTGCCCTCCTGATTCGCAACTAATGCGCAGCAGGACAGCAGGCCGTCGGTCAGCCCCCGGTTTTCATGGAATACCCGTTGAGCTTATATCAAGTATGCCTGAGCCGTGATGGTCTCAGATTAAAATAGTTTGATTCGAATGTCCCAGTATTTATCCCAGAATTATTGTATTAGTTTTGGCGGTTGTCTCAGAATGGCTACTTGGCGAGTAATACTGTACTGTAATCAGTAAGTTACGAAAATTTGACAGAAAGGCAACAGCTTATTGTGAAAAATAATATGAGAAAATGTGTTCTGAATGTACGAGTAACTCTGCCAGTTAATAAATTGCGGCTTCTAGTCTAGTAAAATACTGTGCCACGGTTTTCCCAACCAAACTAAGAGGTTTTCACTTTAGGTTGATGAAATGAACCTCTTTGTCCTATACCCACCGATACTGCGCCTCTTACCACCAATACCCTCCGATACCGCACCTCTTACCACCTACACCCGCCGATACTGCACCACTTACCCCTTATACCCCCTGATACCGCACCTCTTATTACCCGATTACGATTTGCAATAACATGTACTATGCGTGCATTAGCGTACGGTAGACAGTAATTTTTCAGAAGTTTCCCAACAACCGCAACAAAAAAATGGCTGTATCGTCATGCAATAGAAGCAGTTTTTAATAAACTTGATACAAGACTGTTTATTACGGTACTGTGTAAAATTTACTTATCTTGTGTAGCAAAGGGGATGGATTATTGAAGTTTTTATATGATTTCTGCACGGCACCTGGTTTTTTATAATCTGTCCTGCGATAATACTTCCGCCCAGTCTTATTCGATGATGGCAATATATGAGCTGTGTTATTCAGTAAATAATTTGGATAATTTCTTAGGACCACCGACGCTTGTGTGGATTTATATAAACTTTTGTGAGAAGAAGTACTGCGTTGGATGCAAACAAGTGTTCTCTCAGCTCGGTCATTATAAGGAAACGTTTCTAAAATGGGCAAAAACCGGCAAGAATTTTTTCTAAACTGCATTGTCCGCATGCACAATGCACTTCTCGAAAAATCTTACAAAACAAAAACTGCACCGATTCATTTTAATGGGCGTAGACGACTTAACACCTACTAACCATGGCTACGATTTCTGTTTTTAACGGCTATTTGGAAGGCTCGATCAACAAAGGGTTGTAAAGGCACGGTAGCGGCCGCGAAAGGTGGTAAGATGTATCGGCGGGTAAAGGAGGTAAGAGCTACAGTATCGGACGCTATATGTGGTAAGAGGTGCGGTATCGGTGGGTACTGGTGCAGTATCGGAGGGTAGAGGTGGTAAGAGGTGCGGTATCGGCGGGTAAAGGTGGTAATAGGTGGAGTGTCGGCGGGTAAAGGTGGTAAGAGGTGCGGTATCGGCGGGAAAAGGTGGTGACTGGTGCAGTATCGGTGGGTACTGGTGCAGTATCGGAGGGTAGAGGTGGTAATAGGTGCGGTATCGGCGGGTAAAGGTGGTAATAGGTGGAGTGTCGGCGGGTGAAGGTGGTAAGAGGTGCGGTATCGGCGGAAAAGGTGGTGACTGGTGCAGTATCGGTGGGTACTGGTGCAGTATCGGTGGGTAAAGGTGGTAACTGGTGCAGTATCGGTGGGTAAAGGTGGTATCGGTTTCGGCAGGTAAACTTGTTAAGCTTTAAGCAACCAAAATTTGCATCTTTCCTGTAGTATAGTTGTTGCTACCTATACCAAGTATTCCAACCTTTACCGTTACGCTAATGACCTTTACAGCCTTTACCAAGCTATACCATAGTTTTCCCCGGCGTGAGCCTACAATGGCAATCATCCGCTAACGGTCAGCTGCTGCCATGTACAGTGGAACCTCCGATCTTGAACACCTCTGAACCCTGAACAACCCCGAATCTTGAACAATATTTTTCGTACGCGCAGCTCTCGTAAGCTATAACATTGGGGGGGACCTCTGAACCCTGAACACCTTTGAATCCTGAACCTTGAACACTCGGCTGCGTACCGCGATACGTTTTTTTTAGTAAAACGGACCTCCAACCGTGAACAGAGAGCTGCTTTGCGTTGTGTGCGAAGCAGCGAAAGCATCCGGGAAGTGTTGAATGTGTTCACGGATGTCATCGCAAGCAAATTACATAGCACAGAATCACGTTTAGTTCATACTTTATCAATTAGTAGCCTTAGTTTCAGTAAATGAATCTGAATATTAAACATCACGACGGACAAAATTAGCATAAGAATAACACAAAAATCAACTGAACTAATAACTTCCGCCGGGAAATATATTTAAGAACGGTATATATCCTTTTGTTTATTAGCATACGCACATATAATTATAATGTATATTATACTGTATATTGTCTGGAATTTTATGCGCCCCCCTCCCCCAGGGGCAGCACTCCTGAACCCTGAACACCCCCGAACCTTGAACAAGAAACCCCGTACCGAGAGTGTTCAGGGTCGGGAGGTTCCACTGTATGTACGAGATTGATTGCATATCTGGCTGTAGATTGCATATCTGGCTGTAGCATTTCGGCCAGTCAGCTCGGCATCTTATGACGTTGCATTTCATTTTGACAGTGACTCCAGCAGTGGCTGTGGACCTATCACAGTTTCACAGTGAAAGAAGCGTCTTAATGAGTACAGTGACTATGCTACGATATGAAAGGTAATGACGTAACGGATAAATTCGAATCGGTAACCGAATCTGTAATAAAACCGAATCTGTGTATTGGCTTGCGCATACTTCCTTTACTTGCTTAGCAACCGACCGTGCACCGCGACGTACTATGTATATATGTAAACACTCAACCACCTGAAAAGCATTACCAAAATATAACAGTGCTTCGAAGTTTGAACAAGCGCTTATTGATTTCGAAATCGTGCATGTCAGTGCAAGAAAATCCTATTTCCTCATTGGAATATTATGCTAATATTGCTTGTTAGCGACAGATTAGAAAAATTAGAAAAATTTTGAGCAAATAAATAACTTTTTGTTACCATCATAAAGTGAATCGTTAAGGCAGTACGATCATATTCATGGATGAAGTGAAATCGTGTACTCGGGAGATCATTTTCGACGCCATGAATAGCGAGGTGGATTTGTCAGTTGAGCGACCGTCTAGACCCGTTATGCGTCGCAAGAAGGGCTTAAAATCAGGTACGTACATTAAAACTGTAAGAACTAGAAGCATGTCTACCGATATGCTGATATACTCGTATACGATCTAAAAAATGCTCGTTCGAAAAACCATAGCTAACTTAAACGATCCCTTTTTCTAAACTACGGTGGAACGTGGTCAAATTGCAGGTTACAAGTGCCAACACCAGTTCTCCGTCAAGGATATCGCGCCTCCCCATGCACCTCCACCGGAGGTCACTGGCCAGTATCATTCGCACGGTTTCCAGGATATCGATTCCAACTTGCACCGTGATGGTCCACGGTCGTCTCCAGGGCGATCGCCGTCGAAGGAATCCTCCGAGATACCACAACGTGCACCCTTGTTGCATCCACCCGCGCGTACGGCTATCAGCCTCGCCTTTGATTCCGGAGAAGGGTCTAGTAAAATACCGGTAAGAAATAGAAATTCACACTGGCGAAATTATTTGTATATGCTGCAATATTTGTTCTGACATTAGTACCAACGAAATTTGTGGTAATCTGACGGCATGTTCATTAATTAGGGCATGTTCATTAATTAAATGTGGTCGGCGACCACATTTTACATCGTTTTACGAGGGTTGGATCGAATGTGAAAAATAGTCGGTATAAAGGCATTAGCAATGAAATACCCGCTGTAAAAGTAAGCCTGCATCTCAACAACACGATGGTGGACTTGCGATAAATCAAATTATTTTTCTGTGAATTCGACAGAAATACTCCAATATAAATTTCGATATCTACATCTTTTAGATGCATCAGTTATTTGGTAAACATACGGTTTTATTTTCTCTTTAAAGATTGAGAAAAGCATGCAAACTGCAAAGTCTTTGGGCTTAGTGAACGATTCGACATGCAACACGTAACGAACTGGTGAGAAAATAGCGGCGTTGTGCATTTATTGAGCTCTTTGCATTTTTTGCTATTTTTATTTCAAAACTGCCGTCAACCGTTGAATGTACAGAGGGTGAGCCACCCACATTGGCACACTGCACAAACTGATTTTTGAAAACTTCCTTTCGTCTACAACAACATTTTTACAAACATTACCCGATAGCCTGGGGTATTTTGTACTTGATAAGTTTATCTGAGCTTAGTAAAGGATGCCTTTGAAAATCCACTTGTGGTCACTTTATGCCACGTGTGCGCAAAATCTTCATGGAAAATTAGTTGTTTTCCGTTCACAGAGAGCTAAGGGAAAAAACTGCATCAGCGAATTTAACAGGACTTGAGTCCAAAAGTCACAAATAATTTCCTACCAAAAGTGTGCCAATGTGGGTGGCTCACCCTCTGTACAGATACTTAATTTAATTGAGGATTGACTGGTTGATTTCCACTTTTTAGTTTTTCCTTGTAAGATTCGTATGTTGCAGGCACCCTCCCCGCGTGAAGCCACGCCTTCGGACGCCAACACTTCCAGCTCAGACGATGACGAGGATCCCGATCCCAACCATATCGACTACGTGACGCTGTGCGCGTCCATCCAGCCGGTGATCCACCAGGGCTTTATCTACCGCCGCGCTCGAAAACTCGACACTGCCGAGCACCTGGCCTACATCTGCTATCATCATCAGCGCCGCAGGGAGATCTGTCCGGGTGGCCTGTACGTCACTCGTGCCTCGCCACATCTTCCGTTCCGGACAGCGCACTGTCACGGTCCGAATTTCCAGCGCTGCCTGGATTTGTATCTGGAGGAGGCGGCGCTACGCCACCTGCACGAGTGGGTCTTCGAGGCCGACGATCCGCTGGAGGGATATAAGGCGTATTATGCCATTGACTGCAAAATGGCCGAACTGCTGCCGACCTGGGAGACTTTTCGGAAGCATTGCCGGGCGGAGTTGAAAGCGGCAAAAAAACCGAAGTTCGTCGCAGTCAGCCCTATGAAAAACTGCGGAAGCGCCGGAGTGGGCAGCCATCATTACATGCATTTGCATCGCACGCAATATTCACGATGCTTCTATCACTACGAATCACAACAAACCTCCGGAGGAATGAATGTTGCGGCACCGTCTTCAGCAGTTGGGCATACTGTTGAACTGTAAAGATTTTCTCCTATTTTTCATTGTTTGGCCTTGCTTTGTAAAACGATATCTTATGTAACTAACAATTATAAGGTTGAGTAAAACACGGCACAGGCAACAGCTGATAATCGTGCGGTATGGGGAGTGTTTCCGGTGATAAACTTGGAAAGAACATATTGCATTCGTATGATCAGCTTGTGCTTCTGTCGAATAAACGCTGATTTACCGTGTAATATGTATCCATCATTTAACTATTATTTATTATGGCATAGTTGCTGCACTTTTTCATTGCGTGATGCGCCGATTAAATACATAATTACAGTTGTACTTTCACTGCAATTAACAGAGTACTTACTAATATGCATGAGATCGTATGCGAACTACGTTATTGCAAGTTATTTAGTTTGCCGTTCGGTTATTCGTGAAACTGTATTCAATAGCAGAATTATGGTTGAAAATGTGTGGTCATGCAGATTTAATAAGGTATCAGCATTAATTTTGATCTGTAGCAGCTTATCCGGGCACTAGGCACCTGGGAATACACCTTTGAGTGTTTGACATGTCCGGGAAACAGGCGACTGACATACCGAGACAACTGATAATGATTAACAATCGGCAGGGTGGAAAACCTGGCACTGGCAAGCGCCTCTGGCGGTGCCACTGGCATGGCAAGGGATAAAACCTGGTATGTTATCCGTCTGGCACGCAATAAAATATGGCATATGCCGGAAAACTAGAATTATTAAAACCATACCTTTCAGTACGATGTTTTAGCTTTGATTTCTTGTATGTAGAAGTATTACTAAAACTGAATTTTCAAGACATTTCTCATGTGCCGACAATGCACTTGTTCAAGTCGATCTCTAACGAGGGGCAAAATAGTGATGTCCGAGTACGGCTGATTTCCATGTCAACGATTTCCGTTGGGTGAACGCTGATGGCACGAGCTCTCTCTTCGTACATACACTGCACCTGTATATTATAGCGCCGAGTGCTATTAGATTCAAATAATTATGTTTTATTTGATTGGTCGGTTTTAAAGCCGATGATGTAATCAGTAGCCTGTGGGCGGTGTGTGCTCCGAATTCTAGCTTCTGTGGAGATGAGAATGAGTCTACGGAAATCAGTCGGGCACGGTGCTGCTTCGCAGCCATCCGCACTTCTTCAATTGCTAATAAACTTCGATGAGAAAGCTTTCTTTCTTTCTTTCGTTCGTTCGATCGTTCGTTCGGAATGACTTTTCGTCTTCCTGATTCCTGTAATTCTCTGAACTGTGTAGCGTCTTCGCCTTTTCAATTTTGACCATCACCTTCGGTTGTTGTGCGTCGTGGCGCGGAGTGTAGCCAACCCACTGTAAACGGAGGCCCATCATCAGCCTTCTGTTATAATATTAAGGTCAAACACATATAAGCGCATATACCGTTACATGAAATACGTCCGCGCTAGCCATCACATCTTTCTGGAAAGCCATGGTGTATGGTGATGAGTCGATGTGGTATCCCCATACCAGTACGTAACACGAGGTGGCAATGGAAGACAAACCACTCAGTACAAGATCAAAGGTGGAGTTTGAGATGAAGAAGACGCCTATTTGAGTACGCTGCTTGGAGTGCGGCACAACTGACAGGAGCCAACAGGTGTTCGCTATGATAATACAAGCCGAGACAATGGCTATAATTAAATCCAGAACACAATGCAGACCGTCGTTGTCGCTTAAATAGGTGGATAAGTCGAGTTTTCCATTTTTAACTAGCCTCCTTCTTCTTCCTCAAAACTTCCCGTACTAAACCGATTAGCAAACAAACCGCTATAAGACAACGCAGAAAGTGTTACGCCGCTTAATTGTTGCTGAGCGTTGCGCGCGCAGATCGTTTTCATGAATTGCACTCGTACAGTCTGCACACATCAAGAACTGCGCTAGCAAGATAAACAATTTGATACGGAATGGAATGAATCAATGAAAAGTTGTTTAATGAAGAAAAATCTGAACGTATCCGTGCCAATTTGGTATCATGTGCCGGGCTATTTTCCTTGCATGGCACGTCTGACGTGGAAAGAAAACTTTATTTTGATAAGCTTACTTCCATGACGTACCCGTGCTTTGAACTTCACAGCTCCGACAACTTTCGACTGATAACAAATACCTAATATCACTTGTCTGCGCTTTGCGCTATACATTGTCCGATCATAAAGCGTGTATCATACGTTTCCGCTCACTTGCAAATTGAGTGCACTCTATGCACTTACTTGTTGCGGTTGCCAGTTCTCCGTTATTCCATCCACATGAGCGAAAGCATCTTAACTTGGCCAAAGTCCGCATTAATCCAATTCGGTAATTGCGATTGAATCCAAACAACAAGATCGGATTGACCAAAGTAAATAAGAGCATGATAAAATAACCGGCTGTTGCAAAAGCGTTTTGGTTGACTTTAACATCAGTTCCAGCAATGAAGCGAATGATGCAATGGAATGTCACTGGTAAAATCACCGTCACCGTTATGGCAATATACATCCGGCTTGCTCTGTATTCCCTGCTTTGGAAAAAGTTCTTGAAGCCGTCGTTTGGCAGAGAGCAGCATTGTTGGGACAACTGTAATTCTCCAAATATGGCGACTCTTGTCGTAAACAGCAACTGCGCGCGGCGGTACATATGAAGTAACAGCCTCCCATACAGGATAATCATAAAGAAAAGTGCGATGACGCACAGTACTATCGTTGTGCCATGGTACAAGATTAGCCGTTTGGGGCGCATCGGACCTGTACATGCGTTTCCGGGAGGGGCGGCTATCAGCAGCATAACACAGAGGGCTCACGACAGTGAGTAATGAGGCTTTATTGTGTACAGCAGTAAAGCATGGGCAAAGCGCATAGCAAGTGGCCAGCGCGAGAGAAAATCATGACTAAACAGGAATGAGCGGCTGAATGAGCCGTAACATAGAAAATGCCTATCTGCGGCACTAGGCTGATCCAACACGAGCGAAGGATCGCTGATTGGCCGAGACGTAAAGCCGTAGGTGTGGCAAGGCGTAGCTGAGCCTGAGTCGAGGTCAATACAGCGTATGACAGCGAGTGCGACTCCGTGTGTGAGTCAGCACACCGGAAGCAGGGCTGTCGCTGGCTGCCATCTCGTAGGCTGCCATGGCGACCGGCCTGACATGCCTCTGGGCGGGAGTCCGAGCCTCTGCGAAGGACCCGGTCTCGTACCGTCCTAGTGCCGGGCCTTGAAGGGTTGAATCCGAGGGTAGCCCTGGTATCCGGGTGCTAGCCTCTGTTGAAAAGTTAAAGTCCGATTGTACCCTCGGATACTTTGTCGAAAAGTTGAAAGTCCAGTGGCAGCCTCGGCTACGAAGGTAGAGTCCGATGGTTGCCCTGGATTCTACTTCAGGTCATGTTTCCTTAATGTGCTGAATATTCCGTCCGGGCAAAAATCCTGTTTTGAACCTCTGTCACCTATTGGGCAACATTGGAAGGGTTAATGCTGGAGTCTGAGGTTAAATCCAGGGTGCGAGGGTCGAGACCCGGGGTAGCTCTGGGTGAACTGAAGTCCACAGGCAGATCGTGTTTACAGTATGATGGACGATCCATCCGGGCAACAACCCTTATTTTCGTCGTCTATTGGGCAACGTGGAGAGGGTTGATGCCCTGCCTGGTGGGTTCGATATTAATCCTTAATGTGGTTGAGAGCCGCAGTCTGCGGACTCGGACAGCATAGGCTCGGGCGAAGGCTCCGTTCTGGGCCGGTGATGGTAGCCAATCTTGGTTGAAGTCGGGATCTGCGATTTTGGTAGCAGATGTGGTTAAAGACACAATCCTTCCACGAAGGTTGTTGGTGCCGGAGGATCCGAACATTCTGACGGATACTGTCCGCGGGAAACCGCGGAAGACGTTCCGGTACGGTGCGAGCACTGAAATGATGACGGCTGCACTCGTAGTTGCCGGGTCAATCCGGGAGTCCACTTCTTAAGGTTCATTGGACACAGTACAGGGATGAGTTAACCCACCGTATCCCTTATTGAGGGTCCGGTCGGGTAACTAATGTAGTTTCCGCGGTCTGCATGCGTTCTACCGCCGTATCCCTTGTTGAAGGTCCGGCATAGTAGCGAGTCGTGGTTAACCCACGATCTGAAGGGGTTCTACCGTTGTATCCCTTGTTGAGGTTCCGAAGGGGTAGTAAAATTTGGTTAACGCGATCTGCGATGGTTCTCTTCCAGTTTGTCCGAAAAAAGTTCGTCAACGTCTCTATTGGGGACGTCGTCATGTCCTTCTTGACCGGTTTTATCATAAGCCTAACCCTACTGGGGTCCGGCTACCGGTGAATTATTTTTCATCGAGGGTTTGCAGGTTCCGAGGTTTACCGAGCTGAGCCTTCGATCTTCCTCGGTGACTTGCCTCCGTCCGTCAGTGCGAATCTCCGAGCGATGGTCGGGAGCCAGTCGGTTTCATCTGAGGAGATGGGGTCGACCCTATTGGGGTCATTACCGCCATCGAAGGTTGTACCGGAGGTAGCCTCGATACTACCGGTAAGCTGACTGGTGGTGTCGTCACCGGGGCCTCTATCCGTGTGAGTTGGGCCAAGTACTGGGTTCCGTCTGGTCCAGTCAGTATGGCGGTCGTCGGAAAGTGGGTTGGCGCCGGGTGTTCAACCGGGAACCTATTGGGTTCCGTGTTGAGCCTATCCCGCTGAGCCTGTGTTGCTGCCTTTTCCAGCCGTTCATCCTCGCGGTCTTCTGCGCGACGTCGCTCTCGGGCGTTACCAGCCTCGGATTTTCCGGGGGTGGTGGGGCTCTATCCCAGCCATGTTCTTGTGTACGCGGACGGTGACGGTGCAGGTCCCACAAATGCAGCAATGGCTCGCCCTGCAACTGGTCTATCACTTTCTGGTGACCAACCAGATACAGGTACGCGCTCAAGTTCCCTGCTACGGCTTGAAGGTACAAGGCGTTAGCCTGTTGATCGTGTGAGGCTCTTCCGACCGAGGACTGTTTATCCAGCCGGATGAGGATGCATTCTGCGCAAGCATGCCGGGAACCATAATTGTGGTTATTCGCACGGCAGCTTTTGCATCCTGGGTCATAAGCTTCTGTCCGATTGTGCGAGCAGAGCACTGAAGTATCACGCTTAACAAAGTCTATGGTTTACGTCCTAAAATTACGTTCTATAATTACTACGGTCGGGTACGATCTGTTCTTGTCCGTATCCCGCCTGGAGGAGGTTGATTCTCAAAACTCCACCGGCGCATTTTGCGCCTATTAACTCCTTTGACGATTCGGTCCGGGCAGCCCTAACCATTCGGGTCTCCCGTCCGAGCCCGAGTGGTCTGTCTGGTGTCCGGAGATTTGGCTTTCCTCTCCGAGGGTTGGGTAGGAGCCGAGGGTCTGGCTGTTGACGCCAGTGGGTTGAACTGCATACGGTGACGCGGAGCAGGTAAGCCCCGGCTAGCTTCCGTGGAATGGTCTGATTCCTCCGATTCCGATAAACTTTCCGTGTTGCCGGGGTTCTTCAGTCTCGGACGTTGATTAGCCACTATTGGCGGCTGTTCAACACTGTTGTTCCCATTCGACTCCTCTTCCGAGGTCTCGCTGAGATTTGCCGATGTTTTCTTCAACTTCTTCTTTTCTGACCGGACCTTAATTGAGGTACCAGGTCGTATGGTGTTTGAGTCTCCGGGTAGGGTGCTGTCTGAGGAATCCGGTTTTACCGGTTCGATTCGTCCACGTCCCTATTGGGGACGTCGTGGTTTACATATACCGGTCTTATGCTGCGCCGTGTCCCTTTTGGGGTCCGGCTAACGGTGAATTTCATTTCCGCTGGCTTACGGCCGGTGCTCAACCACCAAAGTGGGAGCCTTCCGAGCCTTTGGCTTCTTAGCTTTTGAAGTTGGTTCAGCCCGTCCCTCGGCAATTCTGTCGAGGATGTCCTTGTGGGCTTCGTCTTCGGCTACTTGAGCCTCCTTAAGCACTTCTTGAGCCGTTAACATTGGCTTCTTGGCCGTCCCAGTCTTCCGTTTTGGAGCCGGGGGTTCAGCCTGGTTACTGGTCGATGCGGCCGGGGCCGGTGTGTCGGGTTGCTTCTTTTCCCGCTTCTTCACCGGTTTCTTCTCCTTGGCCGGCTTTTCCTTTGGTGCTTTAGGCTTCTTCGGCTTCTTCGAGGTAGCCTTAGGCTTCTTGGCTATTTCTTCCGGCTTATCCGGGGTAGCCTCGGCTGATTTGGCTAAGTCCACCGGTTGCTCCGGTGTGGCCGCAATTTCGTCTTCCGCGATGCCTGCTTCTGCAATTCTTGCAGGGCTGGTGTTTCAAATTCCGACGGGGGCTTCTTCCTCGGTCGGCCTTGTTTACCTTTCGGCTTCTCCGGTTCAAGGTTGGCGACCGGATTCGGTTTGCCGGGCCGACCCTTATTGGGGTCCTGCACCGACCTTAAGTCCGGTTGCTTAGGGTCTTTGGCCGATTTTTCAGGCTTTCTTCGGCTAATTCAGTCTTTCGGGCCCGGGTACTGCGAGCGGGTCGACCCTCATGGGGGTCTGGCACCGTTACAATGTTGCTATCCAGGGCTCCCTCGAGTCGCTTCTGACCGTAAGATCGGGTTATCCGACGACGCTTGTTGCTCGGGTGTTGTTTACAACGATCCACCGCGACGACGTCTTCTTTTCCGGTGTCGACATTTCGGAGCCAAAGGTTGTTGGGTCCGCGGTGGTGAAGTACCGTCCACACTCTGTCGTATCGTTCCTTCCTGATGGGATCCTTATTGGGATACTCCACCAGGACTAAGTCTCTTTTTCGGAAGTCCGGGGTTGACTTCTTTTTATTATAGACTTCGGCACTCTTTTCGAAGGCTTCATCGATATTCGTCTTTGCGATGTCATGTGCACGCTGGAGCCGTTCTTTCATCCTTCTGATGTACTGCTCCTTGTCTGTGTACTGATCCGGGGCGTTGGTTGCGGTGATGAAATCCTGGGGTATAGTCATCTGGCGTCCGTACAGCATGTAGTAGGGTAAAAACCCGGTGGTCGCGTGTTTCGCACGGTTGATTCCGCATACCACGTATTGCAGGGCTCGGTGCCATCGATGGCCATCCTTAGCGTCGCAGTACTTCCAGATTCCGTCCCATATCGTCTGCATGGAACGTTCAACCTGTCCTTGTCCTTCTAGGTGGTAGCTATTCCGAATGTAAGCTGGATTCCGAAGATCTTAGCCACCTTGGCGAAAGCTTTAGCCGTAAAGTGGGATCTTTGGTCCATGTGAAGGTGGGTCGGCATGCCGTACTTGAGCAAGCATGTTCCTCAAAGAATTTCTCGAACTCTTTTGCAGAGTTCGTCTTGGTTGCTCGAGCGATGGTGAATTTGGTGAACTGGTCGGTGATTACCGCAATATACTGGTATCCCTTTGTCTCCGTCCGAGGCAAGGGCCCTTTGAAGTCTGCATATACACGGAACCAGGGTTCACCGACCTCCATCTTCTAAAGTTTACCGGGTGGTTTGGTCCGATGCTTGTTCACAAGGGTACACCGGGGGCAGTTATCCACATAGTCGTGGACGTCGGTTAGCATCCGATCCCTCGGTGGTCCGTTCGGACAGTAAAGGGTCAATGGTCGATGAAGTGTTTGAACTTCTGGACGCTTCATGGAGTAGATGGCTTTCCTCTGCTCTTCGATGGTCTCCGGGTCTTCCTCACCTAATTGGGCAAGTCTGACCCGGGCTTTTCGGTCGTCCGTCATATGTTCGTACGGTTCGATTCGGCCCATTTTGTTTCTTTCCGGATGATGATCTCCTTATTAGTATGGTTAGCCACGAGGATGGTGAATTTCTTCCCGTCATGTGGGGTCGGACCATCTTTCATTTCGATACCCTCCGCTAAGGTTTCCTCCGAGCCGAGGTACATAAGGTACTTGTTCTTAGCGGGGTCTACCTCCAAGTCTATGGTTACCGTGACTTTTACGACTGCCCGAGGTGGTAGCTCGACCTTCTGTTAGGTCCTTTTCTTCTGTTGAACTGTGGGACCCAGTTTGTGCTCTGCAAAACATCGCTTGCCGAAAACTTTCTGGTTGCAGTCTTGACATTCGATGATGTCGTCTTTATCAGCCTCACAGTTGGAGCGCAGGCATAAATGGCAGATCGACTCGCATCGGTGATTGGACTTTTCATTGAAACCTTTGTTGCAATCAAAACACCAGTGGCAAGACTGCAACCAGAAAGTTTTCGGCAAGCAATGTTTTGCAGAGCACAAACTGGGTCCAATTTTGCTGTTTTGTTTTAATCGCAATTACCATACAGACTGAAACTGGCCTTTGCCAAGGTGAAGTGTCTGAGATGCTGCGCATGGTTGGACGGGGAGCTGACGATCAGCACTGCGAAGTGGGACGAGATGGCAGTGGCTCTTGAAAACAGTTGACGTGTACGGGATATTACTGTAGTACAGGACGTACTCCGTGTATTCACATACATAGTTTACCCGTTTACTGCTGATTATTTTGCTACTGTTTTGTAATACTCCTAACTCTTTTGATATTTGTGTTTTCGCCTTTTGTGCCACCGAGTAAAAATTGTGCTTCTCCCTAAACAATTCATAAATTGGAAATTTCTTCAAAAATTATTATCCCTTCGTGGAACTAACTACACAAGTAGAACAACAAAATTTTATTGTTTTTTATAAACTAGCAGAACCACAGCACATTAACGTCAAGACCCGAGCTCCACTTCATTGTTCTTCCGTCCAGCTCACACAATTTACCAATGCGAGTGACGACATGGACCATACACAGCGGCAACTCACGTCTTTAAGGTTTCCGGAAGGAACACCGAGCAGACACTGGCAAACACCATAATCCCCCCGAAAATCACCAGACTGATGGACGGATTATGGTACCCCGCGTACACCACCACCCGCCCGATTCCGTTGGCAAACGCCGCCAGAAAATTCAGCAATCCCACTGCTTTCCCGCGCACCACCGTCGGGAACAGCACATTCTCCAATTAAAGTCCTGCATGATATACGCACTGGTCACGAACAACTTGGCGAACAGAAACAACGTTAACACGCCGGCAGACGCCGCTTTCCCCGACGGCACCTCCAGGGTGGCTAAGCACGCCGTGCCCCCAAACAAGAAACAGATCATAATCGTAATCTTCCGCCCCAGCCGGTCGCAGATCAGTTTGGTAAAGAGCGCGGCCGGTAACTTCCGGCACAGACGAGAAAGTACGCAAAGAACGGATTGCTCCCCAGGGCGGATGGCGCATATAAGGACAATCCATTGTAGCATGCACTGCACGCCACCGTCAAGACGATCATAATTAGAGTGCATTTGCGGATCTGCGGGCGGCGGAACAGGTCCACATACGAGTTGTGCTTCGTGACCTTTTCTTCGCGTTTCGCCTGTGTGACGCCTTCGCACAGCTGCTCGATCTTCTTCCCCGTCGCGTCACTGATGCGGGCGCCATTGATTTTCGCCATGGTCTGCAGGTGTTGGCGGAGACTGTCGAATTTCTCGTAGGCCAGTAGCCAACGGGGACTCTCGGGCATCACCCAAAAGTACGACGCGTATGTGATAAATGGCAGCGTGATAATCAGCGTAAAGTAGCGCCAGGATAAGCGTGGCATGCTGTAGTAAGCTAGGCCACTGAACACCATCCCGCCGATGGTGTAGCCGACGGAGAGGAGGACGGTGAAGGTAGCCGAAAGTCCAGGGTGACCAGCTCCATGCTGAGGGTCAGTTGGAGCGAGGTACATGATGTTGCTGGCTAGACATTGGATGAAGGTCAAAGCAATAAAAATCCAGAAACCGTAGAAGACGCGTGGACTCCCGGCTGATACGGAGAAGAAGAGAATCTGCAGGAAGAGGAAAAGAGATAGGTGCGCTTGCGACCGATCCGGTCAGCGAGGAATCCGCCCAGCGGTGTGCCAACCTGAAATGGAAAAATAGTTTTAAGAATTTAGATTTCTAATCGTTTTAATCAGTCTCTCTTAAATTACTTTATACTGCTCCATCAGTCATACAGATTTGCACTAAATAAACGCTATAGTTTCCGTAATTAGATATCTTCGATAAAAACGCTGGTAAATTTCACTGTGATAAGTCGCACATCGCGTTTTAAGTAGTTTTTTTTCGTTTTAATTTAGATTGCGACAAGCTGCTGCATTATTACTGTGCTCTGAACTGTTTTCCGGCTAGTCGCTAACGTTCCACAAATAATACCGGCGTTTGTGCACTTCGCCATTATTTTTATCGATCGTTCCTTCTTTCTCGCTCATATGTTTTCCGATTCAAAGTTAATACAACCATTAATAACTATTACTAGGAAAATATGTTAAGAAAAGCGTGCACTTGAATTAAAAATCTTTAATGTTGTTGTTTCACGAAGAATAATCAGTTATCAGCACTTGTGTTTCCCAATACGTAAAGTTATACTATTCTCTGTAGTTTTGTGCCTCTGTACTTTCTGTAACAGAACAGTGCCAGCTGTGTTGACGAGAAACGCCAGTGTCGGCAAGAAGTCCCGACTGCACACCAAATCCCAATCGGTCACAATGGTGTCGTGGTAGTAGGTACGCGCGTAGTAGTAGTAGGTACGGTTGTACTGCCAGGCTTGACACGCTACTTTTCCCAGTTCGGAATGGCCGGTCAAATTTAAATTGGTGCGATTGATCAGGCTGGTACAATCCAGATTATATCGGTAGCATGTGTCCGGAGCGTCATCTTGGCGCGGTAGTAAGCGTGCCGCTTCCGACTGGGCTAGAAGGTGCGTCTGATCGGGAAGAACGTGGCACCAGTGATCCGGAATCGCGATAATAAAGATCTATAATGCAGTCGGTTCGGTAATCAGTTATCCGAATTGGACTTGAAAACTTTTTGCAGGTTTTTCAGTTTCTTATTGCAACTTATAAAAGCTGATGCAAAGAAGCAGCAGCAGAATACGGTCGGGATCAGGACGCAGAATATCGTCCATTGCCGCGGAGATCATTGAGAACGTCGTCAAACTGTTTCCCCAGATCGATCATAATGGTGAATAAAGTGGTTCCCACAAAAAAATAATTTCCCAAAAAAATAATTTCCCACAAAGAGTGGTTCCCACAAAAAAATAATTTTCCAAATTTTAACACACAAGTATACAAAGTTTTGTTGTTAGTATTTTTTGCTGCCTATCATTAATGCTGACTGATATGACCATGACTTTTTTACAAGTACCGATCGCGCACTGCAAAGCTGAAAACATTGATCTAGCTTTACTGTGTACATAAGCGTTTTTCTGTCAACACAGCCCACATTGATTCGCACAACATTAGGTGTCAAAAACGGTGATTGATGCAGAAATCAGAGAAAACTGTTCGGTTAGTTATGGCATGCCCAACATGGTACGCAGTTCTGATGAGCTCTACGCGCCGACAAAAACACCAAACACTGCCACCCATTGTTGGCTACACTGCAACTTAAGAGTATTGTGTACATTAGCGCGATATAAAACAATTCAGCGAAAAATGTCTTGATCATACAGTCAATCGGTGGAATGCTCCGTACGGCTGTGTTTTTTTTTTAATCTGTTTCTCGTGTAGTAAAAGCCGGTTCAGCCTGATATACATATGCTCAAAAATTTAATGTGAAATGACATTGCGCGGATCATTGTATCTGCAGACATTATGTAACCAACAAAATTACGGACATTTGTTTCCCGGCAAAAAAACCGTTCAAGTGAAGAAAACAGTAGGAAGTGATTGTAATGAAATCGTAATCTCATACTCGTACTATAGCACCAATAAAATTTTCTTCGCACATTGCGCTCTCCACCGTTTTGTGCCAATTTTTGCAAAATCGTAAATTTTTTAAACAGACAGACCCACGAGCCAGTACGCCTCTGCCAGTGCTAAATACTGAACAACATATTCGCAATATTTCTGCAACTGTAATTCATTGACAAGTTTGATGCAGCGCAGTGGCTTTTTGAAATTTTCTTAGTTAATTCAGGAGTGCCCAGTGTTATGCATGTGTTATTGTGGAATTACAGTATACGTACCAGCATTTTCTGTTTCAACTGCCCGATATTTGAATTTCGGCAAACTGTTATTTGTATACACTATACAGTGTCACGGTGTCTGCTTAATGTACTGAGCAACCGCCCTCGGTGGCTGCTGGCGTAGAATTCATGCATTTCCTGCGGAAATGATCAGTTTGTTGCAGCCCTTTTCCCCTACGTTTTGTATCTTGCCCCTTTGGGGCAACAAACTCTTATTTTGTGACCCGTGTTCTCTCACGTCTAGATTTATCTGTTATTTCGAGAGGGTGTTAGACTTTCCTCGTGACAACACCAAAAATATCATGTACCTGCGCTACTCCCAACGCAAAAAAATACACCAGTGATGAAACTAGTAAATTCGGAAAGTTGCCCTTCATCATATACAGCATAGGATTGTATTCTAATATCACCCCCGCCTGAACGACGGTGAAGGCGGTGAATGCTCTGTCGAAGTACGAACGCACTGTGGTATCAGCTGGAACGGCAGCGAATCCAAAGGTACACACCACGATTATCTAGCCATGATACAATTTATAGTAAAATCCTGGCGCTTTGTCCTTTCGCGAGTTGGTTATCGTTGTTCCTGACATCAAAGGCATTGTACTGTACGAGTGCTTATACCTAATGGCTGATACCAATGTTGCCGATTAATAATTCGCCACTTATATTACATAACTACAGAATTTTCATTTCCGCCGATAATAACATCTAGTCTAATTGCGTTTGACATACAATTGTATGCCCAGCATTTACCATACAGTATTAGAAACAATGATTTGGGATTTGCCCGCAGGACCGCAGTAAACAACCATAATTTCCTAGTGTGCTTAATGTTTCCGGTGTGAACGTTTTCAGTATCACAAACACTAGCGGACTTTAATGAGCGGAAGATTGTGTGAAACATGTAGGTCTCTTACTCAGTAGTTGCTCAAATACTATTGCTGCATTTCTCGGGGAACAGAAGGCGTGCCAAATAACGTTAAAACGTTCCCTACAGGCTCTGGTTCCTGGCTTCTTCGTAGTTGAAGTACATTCTGCGTTCTCCACTCCGTTTAGCGGTTACTGTCGTTTGCACCCGACCGAAAAACATAAGTCATTCCGTTGTATCAGTAATAATGAGTAATTCTAATTCCTCTTCCCCGAAGCGGCCATCAGAACGGCTGTTGCGGTGGTCAACATGATGTTGCGATTGTTTGATGTGCTGTATCAGACCTCATCCACAACGCGTACAGCGGACAAAACCTCGGTGTGCGCCTTTTTAAGGTTTTACAGTTTCATTGCAACTGTTCTTTTCTGTTGCTGTTAATTCTTTTTTTGTACATTGCGCTGTTAACCGTATCGTACACATAAAGCGAACCGGAAATTTTTTTTAATATCAGATGCACGACTACTCTGTTTGTGGAAGTACTAATTATCGAATGCAATACGCAAATTTGTGGAATAACAACATATATTGGGAAAAACTAATCTAGCCGAACCATTCCCCTGTACTGCTGCCGTCAGCCGGCTGGAGTTTTACGTTGTGGCTAAACATGGTCCTTATGTACCGCGCCTGATTTAACCGTATGTACTGCCGTAACGTCACACTCCAGGCGGGTGACGGCATCAGTACAGGGAGTTGGTACGGGTAGACTAGTTTTTCCCCTATATTCGCATTATTTTACAATTGTAATTCATTACAATCTTGGAAAACTTTCAATAGAGCGGTTTATTGGTTTATTGGAATTAGCATGAAGTACAATACTCGTGTGGTATAAGTGTATTTGTGTGATACACCAGCATTTTCTCCTTAACTACTAAAATTTGAATTTCGACAAGTTTGTACGAGTATATTATAGCGATACTGTGCTATGTGACTAATGATGTACGAGTGTGTACGAGTGTTGTATGAGTAAAGTGTGTGAGTGTGAGTAATCTTAAATCAAAAAAACCTATCCCATCTCACTTAGCCTTTCCTAAACAGTCATTGTTTTCTTCGCCAATAAAATGGCAGTCAGATTAGCTTTTTCTAGAGACTTTTCTAACATCCTCTAACGACCGATCGATCGAACCTAACTGTCATTAAACTACTGCCCGAACTCGTTGTTTCTTGTCCCGTATTTCTGGAACACCTGCACCGATAGAATTATCTACAGTTACGTTACGTTTCGCTATTGAGCTGCCGGAAAGGCAGTCCACGTAGCGTTTTAGCCTACGTTGTATGGCGCTCCTATAACGAAACGGCCACCGAACAACCTACTTCTACTGCGATTGGTTACCATCCTGCGCACATCCTTCCGAATGCCTAAAAGACAAATCGGATACTACACCGTTGTCCATTACGCGAGCAACACGTAACCGAAGTGCTCCTTCTCTGGCGGAAGCCCTGCAGTCTAACAAGCGGAGGACGGTGAAACCGACACCAGCTCCGCCTGCCACCGTTATTTCAACTGCACGTGAAGGTACAGTTATCCAATATACAGCACATATAAAATTCTGAATCTTATGCACCATTTCTGAATTATTTGAATCCTAAGAAAACCTAAAAAGCCTGTGGAAAATTATCTACAAGACGAAACATCACGCGTCGAATTTAAGTGCAGCAAAAGGTCACATTCCAATAGTCCGGGGTTGAATATCACCCTGCCTTTCCAAATCTGCCAGTAAAAATCTGGGCTAAATTTATTGGTTATAATATACTGTGTAAGAACTGTTAAATCAACTTGTGAACCATCAAAAGTTTAAACTTAAGCCGTGATAAACGTAGGTTTTAAAAAATAGCATAGGGTGGTTAGCCTTTAATATCGACAATGTTAAGGTGAAATAATGTCTAATGTCAATAATAATTAAAGAAACAATTAAGCTACTTACGGCTTACGCAAATTGAGAAGTTGACAAAACAATTATTTCGGGAAACGCAGCTACTCTAGATCTGACTCGTACAATTTAGCCTGAATAATATTATTCATTTTCACGGAGTACATCCCACTTATATCTGATGTTACTTGATTGACTCCATAATTATTATCATAAATTCAGCAACAGGTGCCGATATTGTTTGGCGCTTTAACAATAACGCCATTCTCACAGTCAGACGAAAACGTTTTAACGCAAGGACACAGTACAGTGACACACTACTACGCACATTGCACACGCACAGCAGAATATTACAGAATACCGCTCGGGTCCCTTAATTACAAAGTACTTGTGTCGAATGATTCATTTTCGCCGTTATATACCGTACATTGGGCAAAATAAATTAATCAGCTGGGGTAGCAAAACAAGCAGATAAGATATTAGCTGTTTGTGGCTTATCGTTGTGAAAAGTGAGCGTGGACAGGGCGCCGGTTTTTTTAGAATAACAGCGCAGTTTCACATTCACGTAAGTATTCTAAACAATTAAGCTGGCATCAAAGCAGCTTAAAAATTAAAGCATCCCATCTGTAATCATCCTGCTAGGCCAAGCCTGTAGTCAATGTGCTACCAAAGGGCGACTTAACTGACTACTGAGTCAGTGGTACTGACTAATATAACGGGTGAGCTTCAACTCTTCGCGGAAATGATCTCAAAGTGTTTTTAATTTCATTGTGGCACGTAGTTTCCCTTCCGGTGCGAAAGTGTTTGTCTTCAGTAATACTAACAGCACGCCGTGGAGTTCTACTGGGTATGACTGATTAAAATTACAGTGCTTCGTTTTAAGGAAAAACTAATTACATAGCTGTAAAAGTATGAGCACCAATATCAATACACCACTATCAATAATTTAAATATTTTTTCTGGTAGACTTACATTATTATGGTAGCGATCCTCACAAGTTATTTCACAAAATGGGTGTGCGGAGAAATTTTACAAAACCACTTTCAAGTTTCAGCTGGGGAATTACCTGTGCGTATCTGTTCGTAAACGAGTCAGTTTACATAATAATGTTAATACTATGGCTGCGTGCACGGATGACCTTTCTTGGTCCGCACAGGTATTGGCTGCGTGCACGGGAAGACGCCACGGGTTTTGGCTCTGTGCACGGAATTTTACATTCACATTTAAAAATTTGGAATTTTGCTTTCTGAATTATTATTTCACACCCTTTTTCATAGATTGTTCAGCCGCATTTGGTTATCAGCGCTTTACACGATAGTTATTTTCACTGGTAACATTTTCAAGAATTATGCATTTGACTAGACAGGACACTCCGAACCCGCTTTTACGAAGTGCCACATTTTATTCGGCATCTGCCAGGTTTTATCGCTTGCCAGTTGCCAGAGTCACCACGTTTTATCGCTCGCCGTGCCATTGGCAGTGCCCCTGGCAGGTGCCACTGCCACATTTTACCCCATGCATACCGTACTTTATCAATAGAACTAGTAAATTGGATGATATACCATTCGTCGTATTTGGTCTTAAACTGGACAGTTATCACAATGCCGCGAAGATAATGGCTAGGCGACGATTGACCAATGCATGAACTGTAACCTCAACCAGAAAAGCAGCGAATCCGAACGCCCACACCGCTATTTTTCCAGCCACGCTACAGTTTATAAAAATATCGCGGCGCTGCATGCTCTCTTGAGGTCGCCATTTTCTAATTCGAACGCGAACGGACATTTTTATGGCGTTTTACACAGAGGCCCAAATGTTGCGCATGGTCAGAAGCTAACCGTTTACAGGAGCAGTGTCAGAAGCTAAATCACTAACACACTTAATACTCGTACTTGATGGTTTTTACCGCGTTACCGATATAAGGCACGGGTATACCGATCCTTTCAGTGAAATGATGTAATGCTCGTTAATTCCCCGTGGACGAGAAAGGTCAGCATCGAATTTAATGAGCAAACTTGGTTCATTGCACAGGATAAATCCAGTGAGATTGCAGAAAGATCATGGTTTAATCTCGAAGGCGGAAGGTAGGATTGTGATGGCCAGCATGAAAATTTGTTAATATTGGAAGGTATGGATAAAAAATCATAAAACCTACTTTTTATAATATAAACGTTAGGCGACGCCTGGTGGACGTTTACCAATTTTTTTTTGCTGAACGCCAGTGACGTCCATGGTCGATGCCTAATGCATTTTGCCTCTGCGCACAACTTTTCGTGCTGCTAAAGGTTTTCCTTTTTCTGTTTTGAATTCGTACATTTACTTATCCAAATCCAATAAAGTCGGTTTCTTTATCGCTTTCCTGCCCTAACAGTTGACCGTTTCGACTCTCTTATTTAAAGTACAGTAAAAGTGTAAAAACTGCTTCTTCATACACCTGGTAAACAAAATTTAATACACCTGAAAAGTAAATACGTTGGAATCTGAACCGGCGCATCCCGTAGACTATTACATAAGGGGGATCCTGTACAGTGAATTAATACACCTGCATAATAGGCTTACATACACTTTTGCTCTGAACCGGATGCGAAATACCCATGTATAAGAACCTGCTGGCTACATACAGTCTCACCAATTCAAACAAAATTACAACGAAACATCCGCGTTCAAGGAATTGTAAGTGGCAGAACTCAGCTACGTCAAGAAGATAAAAAACTAAAGTTTAGTTCATATAACGTGCAACGTCTGACTCGGCAACGATGATTTTTATGAGCCACCGGCGATGAGTATTGACTTTTGAGTATGTACTGTTAACTGTACTGAGCATTCCACTTCCACGCGTGTCCCTACTATTATGTAAGGTACATTTTAATCTGTACTAAGTGTACAGGAAATTTCAGTGTAGTTTCCTGTATTATTAATTACAAGTTCAGTTTGTTGGCAGTCTTTGAGTCAGATATCTGCTTCTTTCGTCCAAATTTGGTGTACTACTTGGCCGAAGCCAGAATGCATCTGTACGAGGACGATAGACGATCGGTATACGCATGGAACGCTGTGGACGTGGAGGTGGACGGAATGCTGCAGCACGGCCATGTCATCGGTCTGGAAGAACACGAAGGAGCCCCCCAGCGTCTTGTGGTGGATTTCGGGTGTCCGGCACAGGAACCGGTTCCGATAGAATACGGGAAGGTTTTCGACTGCATGAGACCGTTTGATGAACCACGGGCTGGGGCTGCCGTGGAAGTGTTGCTGTTCGACCATGCCTGGAAATGGTATTCCGGCAGGGTCCTAATTGATTCTTTCGCGAACTTATCGGACTACGCGCTGGTGGAGGTGTTCGTGGGCGGACAACGTATGATGATAAGTGATCATTCTGGCGCCATTGGGCGCCACCCCTGATCCACTGCCCCCCAGAAGCAGCCACCCCAACTGCCCCTGGAATTAAATAATAAAATAAAATAATAAATAATACTATTTTCAAAGTTAAAATAAACAACTGTATAAATCAATATTAAATTAAAATATTAATAAAGCCGTCAACCACTCACGGGCCAAAGTGACGTGCTTCGCTACCTCCGAAGCAGGTGTCAGCCAGCCTGCGGGTGGTCAGGCTGCGCCGCACATATAACTGCGCTGTATATGTGTTAGAGATACAGCGCAGACAGCTTTACCTGCATTTGCCCTGCGCCCAGTTGCCAAGGCACACGGCACACTTCTTGCCACACAGTGTTCCGCGTGCGTGACTGAAGCTTAACACATAACGAAGAACCAGCGTGAATTTCTGAGGTTTTTTAATTTAGTCATCGCTGACTAGTTTTTTGGAGTGTATTGGAGATTATAGGGAAAATATCTCTGTGTTCGCCGTTAATTTCCATTGCTTCTGGTGTCCATCGCGGCCTGCCAATTTGATCTGAGGCGGAGGTGCTCTTGCGACGCAAAGGATCTGGATCCTCATCCACACCACAAGCCACCCCGTGTTATTCTTCCTACTCGGGGAAAGCAGTCGTAAAAACTGGTAAGCAGGCATTTTAGCGCTGTTGTTTACGATGCAGAATGCTATGTTTTTTAGCACATCTAGCCCTCGACCATTGCTGCAATCTGTATGTCTGCTGATCGTAAAATGAATCGACGTGCACTGGCTACGGGTTCGTCAATATTTATCGAGAAACGAATCGAATTCTTTGCTTTTTACAGGGCATACTGCGAAACGGTATCAGGCTTGAGCATTGCGGAAGAGCGAGATCAGAGAATTGCTGCGAAGAGAGAAACTACCGAGAACTACGGCTGCCTTCAAGTGCCATCGCATATCGAGGAGCCCGCTGAGTTGCCTGTTTACTTGTAAGTTCTCCGTCTGCTTTCGCATAATTATTTCTCAGCGTTCTCATAGTGTAAATGTGCATTTCTAAAATACTAAATTGCACACTGTATCTTTCTGTTTATTGAGAATCCTCTTCAGTTATTGGTTCGTGAATTATGCTGTATTCTCCACTTCCGTTAGTCTAGGTTTAGGTAATTCTCAAATTCGCATAATCCAAAATTGATTTATGGAAATATCGGCATTTAAAATATTTCATCAACAAAATTGCAATAATATTATGGTAGATTCAATGATACCGTACCACCCGAGGATATCAACATTAAATACAATTCGATGCAGTGCTTTCACTGTTTGTTAATTTTGAAGAACCGAAAAATTCAAGCCAAAATGCACAAGAAAATGATAATAATAACCCATTTCCAGTAAGACTGCTATAGCTTTACGCTCTCAATAAGCCGATTTTGATCGAAAAAAATACAACAAAATTCCTTAAAGATAGTTATTTATAGTTTGCACAAAGCGCAAACTAAATATTTCGTATTCCACAGCAACAGATATTTGTGAGAGGCTTATCAAGAAAGACCCATTGGGAAGACTGACTATTGACCAAATTTCAAAATGTTCGAACTTATTTTCTAATGAATTTCAATTTATTTTTTTTATTGCTCCCAAAAAATTAAAATGCAATGGAATAAGTGTTGAAAACAGAAATTTATCATCGACATCTTTCTTTGCTGCCACTTATTGCTGTCTAAAGTGCAACGGAATTGTATGTTCGTGTATTTGGCGGGCAAGCTACCAGCCACCCACGGGCTGTAGTGACCAACTTCGCAACTAGCGAAGTCAGTGTTCAGACCAGTGCAACCCGCAGGCGGTTGAGGTGTTTTCTCTCTGCACATTATGCAAGTAGTCACAGTACTGATTTATCTAATACTTTAGTATACTGGCAACAAGGAAAGCTTATATGAATATTTTCTGTGCATATTTTGCGGAGCAGTAGTGGTGTAGGTGTAGGTGTACGTGTACGTGTACCAATACTTGTATCTACCAGTGTTTTTTCTATTGCAGTTTCCACCGGAATCGTCTGACTGATCAGTGCCGGCCGTTCCTCGCTCCGCAGTCTCTGTCCAAGCCAGCTCCTTCCGGTAGTGCGGGGGTATTGCGGTAACTGACTTTTACAGTTGGTTCAGCAATCCCAGCATCGCCTCCTGCCCTCTTTGCCGCGACGTGTCCGTGCCGTATTCCAGCCACCTGCTGTCCTGCACCTCTCCATCAAGGACCAGTTGCCGATTGATGCGTTGTGGCAACTGACTAACCGTTGGTTTAGCAGCGCATCGGTCGGTGTGCCACCGCCTGCAGTCCGCGTAACTGACTCACAATCGGTTTACCGGACAGAGACTGCTACCTGACTGATAAAGTTGGGTGGTAGTAGTGCAGGCGTCGCGACCTGGACTCGCCGCTGTGACGGACGGACGGACAAACGGGTAGCCTTCCATATCCCCCCCGGAAGTGTACGCGTAAGTAGTATCTGTCTGTACACTATAGGTATTCTGCATGGCACACGATGGATCCGTACGTACTACTAGTATTTAAATTAAGCAATTTCTAATTTAACACAAATATTATTCACTCGTAATAATAATGATAATCAAGTACTTTCATAGACTGCATACAATACGTACGTATGTAGTACGTACTAATTATATTGCGTGTCTTGAAAGTTTTTTGCAGGTAGTAGCTGCTGCGTTATGGAGTCAGAACTGTTGCCCATCGACACGTTGGGGGACGAACACATCCCAATTCCAGATGCTGAAGCCGCGAACTGCGATTACCTGGTCCATCCGCGTCCACCTCTTCAGGAACACGAATCCCAATACCGCTGCTTGAGCGAAGAAGCATTCACGAAGCTGAAGCGCCTCAACAGTACTGACGTTGTGGGCGAATATGGACAGGTGAAGGTCGTAGTGGGAACCGATTCCCAGGGCCGCCGTACGCTCCTTGTCACGGACAGCTGGATCAAGTCCGGGAAGGGCTGGCGCCATTCGACCACCGTAGTATACCGCCGCTACCCGACCATTGCGAAGCGCGATGCCCTATTCCACGTGGAGGCCGGGGCCACCTTCAACCAGGTCCTGTGGAACATGATCCAGCTGGCCCGCGCCCACTACGGGACCGCGCTGCCTCCTGCCGACCGTCGGAAGAAGCTCATTCTCCTCGCCGGCACCAACGATGTGAAGAATTTCTGGTACGGGAAGCGCTTAAGTACTACCCATCACCACAAGCCGGCATCCGACATAATCAGCCAATTAAATGCTGTTAAAAACGCCCTGCAGCATTATTATAGCCCAATTTTTGTGGTGCAAGTGCCGGAGACCGAGATCAACCGCCCCCACTGCAATATCGCCATCGGCTATATCAATGAAAGCCTGCGGAAGTTTTGCGTGGAGGGCGAAAATGCCGGAACAACTGGCATTTCATCAACATGCCGGCCTTCGAGCTTGGGAATGTCGCCGACCATAAGGACAAGTTCCTGCACACAGACAATGTGCATATTGCTCCCGCCATGGGCGATCGGCTGTACATTGCCATGTATAGAGCCATTGAGCGCGTCGCCCAAAGTATGATGCTAAGTGCAGTGAATTAAAGATTCGGTTCTGTGTCAAATTTATGTTCTCTTAGTTTTTAATGCTAATTGTTTGTCTGTTGCAGAGCGTACAGCCGAACTGCAGGCGAGAAAACGGGCGCAGCGTGAGGCAGCGGAGAAGCAGCGAGTGGCGGAGCGGGTCGAGCGGGAGCAGAAGGCGGCAGACGAGCGAGCTGCCCGGGCAAAGAAGGAAAAGGAAGAGCGGGAAGCGCAGGAGCAGAGGGATGCGGATGAGCGAGCACGGCGGGAGAAGAAAGCGGCCGATGATCGGGCGGCTGAGGCGCGGAAGGATGCTGATGAGCGCGCTGCCAAAGAGCGGAAGGAATCCGAGGAGAAGCACAAAGCTGCCGTCCGTGCCCACCGTGCCGAGAAGCAGCGGAAAGAGCGGCAGACCGTGGCCAAGAACGGGAGCAAGCTCGGCACAGGTCTCCGCAATGATCGGCGCAAGAAAAAGAAGGTCAACGAGAAGAAGCAGCAGTAGTAGTAAGGTGAGACAAGAAATAATAATAATAACAGTAGAATATTATTATTTAGGTGCAATAATCTTTTTCCGCTGCATCGTTTGCCACATAGCAGCAGTCTGTTGAGTTATTTTCTAACTATCACGGCATTTTTGTAGATCTGATGGTGAAGGATGGACCAGCGGAGAGTGGAATGAAGATTTGGATTTGTGTTAAAACCTTTGTTTCCTGATTCTTTTCCATGCTAACGTTGATGATGTGTATCTTGTTCATGGCTGATTGGTATAGATTTCTAATAACAGTTATTAGTTTTTTGATTGTTTTGTTTTTAATACTGGGCTGTATGTAATTCTTTGTTCAAAACAAGAATGTGTGATGATGGTAAGGAAGTGGAATGGAATCAGAAGTCTATCAGCAAAACACGAGTGTCAATAACTCTAACCTCTACCAATCTGTAGCAGTTGTCAAACATATATGTACGGATTAGGTAAATTTCTGCAGTTAATAATATTAGGAACAGCATGTTTAAAGACACACTGCCCTGTATCCATCGTGTAGCCAATTAAAAAACCAGCATAATTATACTCTTGTAACATTTAGAATTAACGCTCACGCTCATGTATTCCCCAGTAATTCCTCAACAATGTCGTTCCCCGCTGCAACAACAGTGCCCATGGGCTGCTTATCCAGCAACGATATTGCCAACCTTGACGTTGAATTTCCTGGTCAGCTGCACAAAGCGCGCGAGGTGGAATGTAAATTCGATCGGAACAATGTGGGACCGCAGATTTACGATCTGTTTAAGCGTGAATATCTTCAAATGAAAGAAAACCCCGGTCAATACCAATTCCCACGCAGTTTGTTTATGAAGGTGTGTGTCTGTCTATAAACTGCCTGCTGAACGCCTATCCCATAACCTTTGTGCTAGTAAAACTTCCACGATAATTATTTCTTAAAACATCCATCTGAACATCTTCAGGTGACCGGTAACAAACATCTGTGCATATCGCGAAATGATATGCAGGAACATCCCGCGTTCAAAGAGTTTGAAAGGAACGGACAGCTAACGTATTCCAAACAGTTCTTCACGGCCAATCCTAACGGCTTAGTCGTTATTCAAAATGCTGGCAAGCAGTACTGTCCCCTTGATGAACGGTTATCTTGGGATGAATGTGCCAACCGTGCGCTCTGGAAATCAGAGAACAACATTTTACGCCAGCTAGATGCCAGTGATGTCCTGAAGGGAAATCCCGGGCGGCACGATGCTGAGGCCGGCGTGAGATTCTTTGCCGCACTTCGCCATTCACAAGCTGCATCCCGAGACGTCGGCTATTATGCCTTTGTAGACGAAGTGAAGATTGTTCCAGAAGTAAGCATAATTAAAGCATGCGTCCTTTTTGCTAAGTGTCATCTTCGTAGGGGAATTAAGTAAACGTAGGGGAATCATTGTTGCTTTTTTTTTTGTAGTTGTGCGATTTCGAAGTGCCCTGTGTGCTTAAAGAGCTTGACCGGATGTTCAAGCGCGGTCCTCGGCCCGGCATTACCAAAAATCAGCTGCTCATATCAGCCGGACTTACCGGGTTCGGTTCTCACTGTGAAGATGGGATGCTCGCTTCTTTCAACTTCCTGTTCACACTAGAAAGCGTCATTAAGTCATGGATGGGAATTCCGGTTGAGCACTTTCCACTGGCCAAGAAAATATTTGCAGGTAAGAAAGCGATAGAATAATTGCAACGGGTGTGGCTCCCATATGAGAACGTCCTTAGGTGTCATCTGTTTGTTTGTTTTTAATATTTTTAATAGACAAGTACGCTCAAGTTATCGCGCCAGACACCGCAACGTGTGACGATATCGGCGTGAACCATCTTCACAAACTCCTCATCCTGGCCGACTGGAGAGACTTCTTGCGGCAAGGAGGTCATGCATGGTACATCGAGCAGGGACCGGGAGATCTCGTTCTTGTCGGCTGCGGGGTGATCCATCAAGGCGGACAAATTGGACGTAATGAAGCCATTGCAGGAAACTTTGCGGATATCCATAACTACAGAGACGTAGTTATTGGTACGGATCTCTATCGTCAATGCCCTGACGATATTGCCAACAATACAGATCCAAAGGCTACCTCCCGCGGAATGTGCAGAATGGAAGTTTTTCAGATGGAAGCTTGGTTAAACGCCCGAGACCAGCTTGCCAAGGCAACAAATAATCCCCAGCTTGACCTGACTTCCAATCTTCCGCTCCCGGAGTCAGTGGAATGGTACCACTATTCCGGTCGGGCATATGCAGCTCAGGAGCGCCTAAGGCAGGACGATATCTTGTTGCCAGAAAAACCCACTTCTTTTGAACCACCGGCTCTGACAACGCGGTTCCTGGTTAGGCGGAAATTTCCTCTTAGTTGCCTGGTCTGGGGCAGCAAGGTCCCGCACCCGGATGTCCGGCCAGTCTCTTTAAGCTATGCCAATGATCTACGCCACCATTTACGTAACCATCGAACAGACGAAACTCCCGACACAGTTGGCTGGACAGTTACGGGAGTTGTGTTTTACAATAAACCGGATGGTACATGGGAAGACGTGGAAAAGCTGGTCAATAATGGCAAAATCAAGATTTCCATCTACGACGGTATGCAATCTCGAACTACGCTAGGCGCATCATGTAGAAAAAGTATTTAACAGGATTACTCTTACAGGTGCACAGCGGTGCGCCGCGGCGGAAATGATGGGATGGGAAGAACTGGACGTGCGTGTTCATCAGTCCTCGCAATGCCTTATTTAAAAATTCACATTTGTATTCTTTGTTTTTGTTGTGCAGGTTTGTCTGTACCTGAATCCCACGGCAGAAGAGCAGAAGTTTTTGTGTTGTCGAGCTCAGGAAGTCAACGCGCAGGTCGCCCTGCAGTACACGGGCAAGCAGCTTTTCAGTACAGCCAGGAAATGTGTCGAAGTAGTTGCACGACAGCATGCACAAGAGCTTGGGATTCCAGATAACGTTCCTGTTCCGTTCAGTGATGACCAGGCCGTGGATGATACCGTAGATCTACCGGACTCCGTTCCCATTACGAATCCTGACCACCGCTTTCATTTCACTCCAGTTCCAACTACTCAACAAAGCAAGCCGCTCGCGTCAGCTAAGCTGTTGTTTATTAAGCATTATCCAACGCTTTTGTCAAATCTTGAGCCCGCAATGCCTGGAATTTGCGATGACCATCAGGCTCTGACGAAAGATCAGTCCGAAGCGATAGGCTGGCTTCTCAAAATTGCCTGCTATCCGCGCGCGCTGCAGTCGAAATTCGATCAACTCTGGGATCTAGTGGAGCGAAGGGCAAAGCCGGCTGTCGATAACCTGGCCCGGCGTGAAAACAAACTGGGCAGCCTCTTCTGTGTTCTTCTAACCCCTCGAAAGCTGCACGACCTGCGCCAATTACGCAAAGATGATCCTTGGCCCATGGTCGATTTCGCATTGGATCGGATTCTGGATGGGAGCCTGAGCATCATTCAGGCCTGCAAGCCAGATGTAGTGGTAAGATATTTGAAAACGCGATTGATTCTCTTTGCAACATTTTGACTGATCTATTCCTTGCATGCAGAAAAAGCGGTGGGAAAAATTGCGCAAGGTCCCCTGGCCAACGACAAAACGGGCGCTGCCAGAGCCGGAAGAGAAACGTCCGTCCACTGTGAAGCTTTCGAGAGGTGCGACTCGGTCAACGCGGACAGCGTATAGCAGGGCAGCAGCTTCTAAACAGCCACCTGTTATTCTACCCGTCACTACCTCCACTACGTCATCGTCCGGTGATATGCGCCACTCCACACCGCTGCCGGCAAGCTCAGGAAAACGCTGCCGCACACTGGACGAGCACTTCGGGGCGGATGTGAGTGCTATTAAGAGCACTGAAGACGACGGAGAGCATGAGCACAATGGTGACCACAATCAGGAAGAAGCGCATCATCCTTCCACCGGCGATGAGGAGCCATCAGCCAAACGTAGAAAGACAATCAAGGTGCGTTGCCGGAACTGTATCCATAGTACCAAGCTCGTAAATTTTCTTCCCGTTGTTAATAATGTGCGTGCCTTTATAGTCGTTGTCCGGGGATGGAGGCAGCAGCGATTCGGTGGTTGTGTCAGCAGAACAGAGTCCTACCGCGTCTGCCGGACAGGAACCGGGCACTGCGACACCGTCGCCGTCATCAACCTCATTGGATGCTGTGGAAGAAGAACAATCCCCTACTCACAGTATTCCTCCCAATGACGAAATGGAAGTTGCCAGCACGTCACAATCGCTTCCGAATTCCGTGAAGCCCGATGCGGAAGCGCAGTCTCTGCAGGATAGCGGTCGCGGCTCTGGCTCTGAACCCAATCCCCCCTCACTTTGGTTTTTCGCTGGCAGTGAACGCCAAAAATGATGCTGAAGACGCAACCGAAGTATGTGAAAAACATGCTCGTTTAAGTTTTTCACGTTTCAGTTTTAATGGCTCAATCGGTTTGCAGCAGCCAAGTGGTCCAAAAAAACAGGCGGTAGAAACTGTCGATCCACACCCCCCAAAGCACGGACCGAAATGCAGCACACCGGCAGCTACTGGCAGAGAAACCCCAGACTTTACAACAAATTGGGAACGAGCTAAAGAAGCTTGATTTGTACAAGCACCGCCAGAAGCTCCTTGATGTTTCGTCGAGTTTTGATGCCCTCGAGCCCGTGAAAGCCGATTTGAAGTCTTATTCCAGCATTTACGAGTGTGGCGCTAGCGGCTACTTGGTGGTTGATGACGGCGCTGCAGGCTTAATCGCCGAAACACCCTTGGGGCCAGTCGTACAAAACAGTGGAAGCATGGAAGCGCTAGTAGACGTTCGCGATCTTTTGCCCGTTGTCCCTGCGGTAGTCATCGACGTAGAGCCGAAGGAAGGTCCTGAAATGGTCCTTGAAGAGGTATGATTCTAGGATTCACTGCTACGTTTGTAGCCTGTACACACAAAATGCTTGCAGAATATCATCCCCATTGATGATTGTGATTCACTGTCGTCGCCTTCCAAATCCGGGAATGAGATTCTGAGCGAAGTCAAGAAGCCGAGTTTCACAATCGAAGTCGATATTAATCAGCATCTTCTCAGCAAGCTATGCACATTGTATCCGGATGAGGTTTTGTTGCCGCTCTTGGCAGGCACCGCCTCTGCCGATCACCGTCGCGGCGCTTTCAACCATTTGATGAGCGCGCTTGTTGACCAGGAGGTAAAAAGCACTGCTTTGCCGGCAAATCCGTCTGAGATATTTGCACAGAATCATCAGAATTTCTGTTTTGTTCTTTAGAAATATGCGGCATCTTGCAAATTGCAGCTGACTTCTCCCCTTCTCTCCCCATCATCGCTCACTCGGGACGTTATTGTGGATGTGTTGGAATTGGTCGACAGATGTTGTGTCGACGCCACACTGCTTGCGGCTGAACAGTTCCACCTTGCTGTCCTTAATGTAAGGATAACAACTAAACCCTGTGTTTGTGTGTGTGTGTGTTTGTGTGTGTGTCGCATGTGTGCGTTGCGTATATGTGGGTTAGCAATGAGCGTGATTTTTCATTTTTTCCCTACGTTTTTGTAGCTCATTAAAGAGCAATATGGAAATATCGCGGAACAACTAAAGGACTTCTTGACGTCCCAGGCTGCCTCACGCCAAATTTTGGTAGAAAATGTCGATTCGCGGCATGTGGGCTGCAAATGGCACTACGAAATGCTGCAATCAGTGGAGTTTTGTGAAGAGTACACAGCATACAACGTGCCTGGCGATGGCAACTGTTTCTTTCGAGCCATCTCACTGGCAAAGACGGGAAGTGACGAGCACTACCTTGCGATGCGGCTGGCTGCCGTCTTTGGAATGCTCCATTATGGTCAGGCATTCGAGCAGCTGTATGAGAATTCGCATCCGAAATCCAAGCCGCGTACCTTCCCCGAACTCCTTAAAATCGCCTGCCTCTCTAAGGAAGAGTCTTCCGCGGCCTCAGTGAACGCAGATCGATATGGTATGGAGCGACATGGCGGCGGAATAGCTCTTTTCATCGGACAAGCGATTTACAGCTATGATGGCTACAGTCCTTTCATTGATCCTGGATCTCTGCCACTGGACTGCCCAGTAAGCAATTTTCGTATTGGTTTTCTATTTTTGTCAAATGTAAAAATGGCAAAAATATACCTTGCAGATGAAAAGGAAAGCTCTCCTATTTCCCACGAAAAACGGATCGGTAGCATTCGATTTTCGCCCCTGTTTCCCGAACAAAGATGGTGTCGTGGATAAATCACTTCCGATTTTGCGCATCATGAACGTCAAGATCCAGCGCCACTTTTACGCCGTAATTCCTAAGAAAACCAACTGCAAGGAATATCGTCCGGGGCAATTTCTTCAGCTGTTTTAGAAATCGTTTTTCTCCCGCTACTGTATGGGAAGATATTGTTGAATTTTTTGTTTTTGCGGCAGTACATTTCCTCCTTTACTGGCGATGGCTTACTGCGCAGTTACTTGTTATAGCTGACAATGAGGGTCAGATCTTTCAATTTACAGGCTACTTGTTTTGGTTTTTAATCTTGAAAGAACGGTATCGTATGAACTTTTTAGGGTTTACAAACATTTTTGCGCCGGCGACAACTTTCTGGTACCGTCTTTATTTTATTGTTTCATGCAATCCGATTAGAATCAGAAACCTTTTTCAAACTTGAATAGTAAACAGACAGGAACTCATTGCAGCGGTGGTTTTTATTTTGCTGATAGTAATCTTCAATGACCTTCAGTGATAGGAAGCAAGTCCGATACGTTTAATTAAGCTTGTTTAGTGGTGGTCAGTTTTTCGGGTCAGAGAAGGGTGTGGGTGGCGATCTGGGGCTTATAGCTGTCGATGATGATGGTTCGCTGTCTGTTGGTGAGCAGCACGTGGCATATATGGGTGGCATGCGACGATCTGTAAGCTTAAGGAGAACGTAGAGACAACTGGGGGCCCAGCGCAGATGCTCCAGCAGCGGAACATCCGAGCTAATCCACCCACTGACCATAAGTCCACAATAGAAGCACTTAACCATATCTTTTCGTCCACAATAGTGGAACCCTGCTTGTGCAAGTTCATAGGGAGACTTCGCAATTTTCACGGGCCAATGGGCATAGCTTTTCAGGCGATCGTCCAGGTTCTGAAAAGCTGGAAACTCCGGTAACTTCAGCTTGATAGGGCGCTCATCATCATCCGCATCATCCATACACATTTCACGGAGTTTTTCGCAATCAGAATATTTCTGAATATGACAAATGATTGGATTGGCTTGTGTAGTTAATCCAACATCTATCCGTCCACAATAAGCGCATAAGTAGGAATCGAGAAGATTAACGGGGGTGAAGCCATTTGCCCTTAGCTGATTAATAGCTACTTCATCGTCATTCCCGGGCCAAACAATTTTCAGACCAAGCTCTGTATCCTGCTGAATAAGCGGACTAAAATCGGACATTTTTGGAAATTTGCCGCTGAACAACTTGATCGAGTAGCTAGCTGAAATAGTTACGGTTTTGCTTTTATACGCTTCCGCTATAATGGTAGTTTTCTGCGCGGTGGGGGGTGGGTTCCATAGCCGCCCTATGCTCTTGCATGAGTCAATTCACCGACATGGAAGCAGCGGGTGGTAAGCTGCGTTCATCTGGCCGTAAACAACAGCCAGCTGGACATGCTCCGCCCCTGCCAGACGACAAGCTGTGCGCCTTCTGCCATGCAGCTGCTGCCAGGCAATAACAAAGGCTCTCCAGTCTGCCCCAACAGGCAGCAGGAGGCGTTGACAATTTAACATCATGACCTACTTCTACTACCCTACTCAATAAAAAGGCTATTTGAGCAATATGCTGAATGCGCGAAATTCACTTTGCTTGGCATTACGGAAAAATGGCACATGGAAATACTAAGAGCAATGCTGGTAGTGGTAATCTGAAAATTTTAAGCCAAGACGATGCTGGAGGATCGGAATACGAAACGCTGTTGAATACCGCCCCGTTCATTCTTGTTGTAAGTGCATGCAATAACCCTTCTCTGTAAACATTTTGTAAACAAATGCAGGGTTTTCAACAATAATATTTTGGCATAGGCGGAATGATGATTGTGCTGGATATAAAAGCGGAAGGAGAGCGGAGCTGTCGAGAACAGTTGCGCTCTTCTGCCGCCCCTGGGCACTTAAGCATTTGCTAAAATGACCTTTCATGAGTATCTTATTTCCGCTTGGCATCGCTATAGCCAACCGACCTTTTTAGTTTTAATTTTTGCAACCCAACTAACAACGCTGTGCCTTTTTACGAGAAGCGGGAGAATGCTTAATCAATTTACTAATGAGACTGCTGCCGTTTTAAACGGAAAATCTTCTTTAATTAGCAGTTTTATTAATGACACCTTGGCAATTTTAAAAAACGGTCGCGGTGTCGAAAATATTCTTTCGATGTTCAGACCGCTGAATGGGTCCGTTAACAGGCTAATACGAGCACTCTCGGAAAAAACCTTAAATTATCAAATGAATATAACTGCTCTTACAAATAGCTGGTTGAAAGGCGAGCCGCGCCTGGACATAATTCTTTTTCCCACGGAAAAAAACATCAGCGAAATCATTCAGCAATCTCCGCCTATTGTTATGAGCTCTACTTTACATAAAGACGAATTTCCGTCACTACGCAGTAGAAGCGGTAGTACAGGCACTACTAAATATCCCTGCTTGCTTGCAGCACAAGCCCACCAAGGTAATGCTAAGCCTGAGCACCTATGTAGAGAACCAGCCGCGAGCAGACATTCGGCTTATCGTCAGATCTCAACAAAAGGACGAATACGTAGCTACTAGATGTGGACTACATTTTCCCCTGCAGTACCTTTCGGAAATCAGTAACGCGCTCCAGAAATTCAGAGAAAAAGTAAAAGAGTGGCAGAAGGATAATAAGTTTTGTCAGCCCCAACCAGTTTTACGGAAAGGAAAATCATCTCAGCAACCACCTTATTCCTCGAAAAAGCAGCAATATAAGCGAAAATTCAGCGGCAACAAAACCGGAAACCCGAAGAAAAGGACGAATTATAAAATCCGAAATAGTAATAAACCTGGCGGCCACAATAACAACGGTTTTGTCGATGACAATGAAGATGATGATGATGATGATGATGATAATGATGAGACTACGGATAGCGTCGACCGTGTTTCCACTAAAGCAAACTGCGGTAGTGATATTGAAGGTGGGGATGACGACGATGAGGGTGATGTGAATGATGATGATGATGATGATGATGGAGATGCTATTGACGGTGATGATAGTGAAGTTTGTGAGATTGTGAAGAAATGATGTTCGTACCTGTGTTTGAATGAGTGTGTGTGCGTGTGTATGTGTTTGTGTGTTTGTCATGTCAATAGCAAAAAGGCGAGGAACATTTGAACAAAGATCAATAAAATCTCAGCGCTCTGACGGTAGTGACCCATCTGTTTTTCATAATTTAAACTTTACTGACATATACAGCCACCATGCAGTAATACATAAAGACATTATTTTACTGTCTCTGCTATTTACAATAAAAACAGACAGATCCATTTTAGCTAGCTAGCGATCCCCAGTCCAGCGCCTTCTTTACCACTTTTGTGACGTTTCTTTTTGCCAGCATTCAGCTTCTTTTTTCTGCTGCTTTTGTTACTGCTCTTGGTGTGACTCTTTGAACTACCGGCGCCGCTCCCGCTTCCTTTACTTTTCTTTCGTGTCATCACCATTTTTGATCCAGTGGCCGTCAAGTGTTTTACAGGGACCAGAGCAAATTCCTCCATAGATGTTGTATTTATGGCGTAAATGCGCTGGTAAAGGTCACTGGTTTCGTTTAGAATGCAAGCACGTACGCGCAGAACATCTGGCGTACAGGACTTGAAATCCAAGAACAAATAACCGTAATCGCGAGCGGTCGCAGATTTATATGCTTCCATAAAAAAACTAGAACTACGAGGGTACATTTGTCGAGCGAGAATCTCGATTTGCAGCATATCGCGCGGCTGTTTCCACAACACTAAATAATGCGCATTTAACGAAATGGTTCTCATAAAGGGATTTTGGTAGAATACGTTCTGTACTGTCAGAATTACTGAACGATTGAGATGATGGGTGCCGCGAGTGAAAAGTGACACTACGTTTTTATCTATATTTTGCATTTGATCGTCTAAAATAATCAGTGATGGCTCGCATTTATTAGTAAAACTCTCCTCTGCAATATCGCTTGGAATATCTTTAATAAAAACAATATTTTTCGTATGACGTTTCATGGTTTTAAAAAAAGCCGACTCGTAAGAGAAAATAAAATAGATTTTTTTAGGAAAAGGAGTAATCTTGCGCATTTCGAGCAGCCGCGAAATCCAGTATGTTTTGCCACCTTGGCTTTGGCAGCTGCAGACCAAGTTGAACGGGTGCACAAGAAGCGGCTCAAAACTAAATTGCTCAAACATTTTTTCCGGTAACAGTAACGGAGCAGAACAATTGGCAAGTGTTTAACTTTCTGGCTTTTATACTTCTGCTGACGGATGGTAGCCGAAAGGCACCGTTCGAAAGTCTTCTAAGATTCTGCGCTTGTCAAAAGTGAAACGAATAACTTTGCGTTGTTCACTGGATTTTAACTGCCATTTTCCTTTAATCCGGAATATCTTGTATGGGTTCACGGAATGCTTAACCAGTCTGGGATCTCGCACCATTTTCTCAAGCGTGTCCACGGTAAACAAATCTTTATTACCCTGATTTATGCTGATTCCTTTCAGTTTAAATACTTCAGAACCTTTGCGCGTTCGATAGGCATACATTTTAGGACCTCCACAGACAAACACAATAATTTGGTCTTCACCAATCTCCGACTTAAATTCTCCCAAACACTCGCCAACAGGTAGGCTCTTCAAGTTTTGTCCCTCTAAAGCAATTACGCAATCAGTGTCGACATACAGCAGCCGTTCTATTCCCACATACGCCATTCCTGCGTACAATTCGAGGCGCGCATAACTAGTCACAAAGCTCGCAATGACTACATTCGCATGCAGATCTGATCCGTCAACATCGCAAGTAAAACTACTTTGCACCTGCAGAACGTCATCGCTCAGAACGTCTACGTAAGAAACGTTGTAAGTACCGGAATAGAAGAGATCATTAAATCGTTTCATATCTTTCACATATTCGAATCGTGTTTTATTTTCCTTAATTGCCAGACGTCCCCAGAGCGTATTAAGCATGAGCTTGGAAAGCAAGCGCTTAGTGGGATTATTTTCCATGCGGGACGGATCAACCACTACACCATCGCGTTCGTACAGCAGCTGCAGATAGGCTCTTTTGTCACTGTCACTGATGCACCCGGCAGGGTAACCGCTGGCAGCCGCTTTCTCGGCCATAAATGTACTGATATAATGGGAAAAAAGATCCCCTTGTCGCGGATAATGCCAGATCTCATGGATTTTAATTAAAGTATATCCCAACGACATGGCCAGTGTTAACTCGGGTGTTGTATACACCCCATTGAAACATCGCTGTTCGTCAGTGTGCCCACATGTGGCATCCTGATTGTTCAGCTCGGCGCAGCGCCAACAAAGCGTAAATAAGCATTTGTTATTGATCCGCTGGGGTAAAACAGGCAGATGTAAGCTGACAGGGGGCAAAATGCGCACGTGGGCAATCCCAAAATACTCTTCTAATGGTTTGAAGTTACTGAGTATCTT